GCAATTGATAGCTATCTTGCAATTTCTCACCAACCACAGTGGTGATATAATATGATGTAATGAGATAAATATGAACAACAATATCTGGCTGGTGGTGCAATAACCATCTTTAAAAATATGTGAAAGTCAATGGGAAGGATGACATCCCATAGAATATGGAAAATAAAATTCATGTTCCATCAACCAGTGATTATTAACCATCATTAACCATGATTAACCATGATTATATAACATTATATAACCATCATTAACCATCATTACCCCATATGGCTTTGTCAATGGGCTTCATTAACCTCATGGCTTACGTGTGCCATCGTGCAAATTGCCGCCACGTAACGCCAAAATTCCCGTCCTCAGAAAGCCATGGCTGGGTGAAAAACACCCTTTTTTTAGGGGAAAATAGTAAAATACCTTCCATTTATGGAAAATAGGGTGAAGGCTGGGTGAATTACCTTCAATTCTGGGTGTGAAATTTCACTGTCCATCAAATTTCACTAATCAGATCACTGCGGAAGCCATGACCTGGGCTTCTGAAGTAATAGAAAAATGGGATACAATGAGCTGAAGATTGTAAGTCCCATAGTTCCATAATTAATGTTCCATATGTGTTTTTTCCATATCCTCATATGGCTCACTAAATGCCCCTAAAATTGCATATTCCAACCTCTGAACTGTTGAAGCTGGTTCACAGTGATTGAACATTCAATCCAAAATCACCGAAATGGCATCAGCTACGACAAGGAAAAACATGGATCCGAGCTTCTTCGCTGTACTCACAACGACTTGCCGTGGTCATTTGCGCCATGAAAAATCCCCGGCAAATCATCAAATCATCGAACTAAATGGGCCACGGATTTTTTCGCTATGTGAAGATCGTCCAGACATTAAGAGCAGCTGATTTCAGAGCTGAATTCAGGATATGTCAGGACCGTCCCCTCGATACTCTCCACTCGCCGCAAGCTGTGAAATCAGCGAAATCAGCGAAATTGGAGTATCAAATCCCACCCCAAATGGCGCTTGTGAACCGCGAGGGTTTGGGCTGAGATTTACCTATTTAATAATAATAGTAATGAGTAATGATAATAATAATCATCATCATCATATAATAATATATTAATAATCATATAAATATAAAATTATCATCTCAATAATCATCTCAATAATCATATATAATTTTCATAATAATAATAATGATGATAATAATAATAGAAATAAAAATAAACTATAATCATTGTTTAATATAAATAACATTATATAAATAATAATACTAATAATGAGATAGCACCCAAAGTTTCGATGCCAAGCGGCAGAGCGCTAGGCTGAGCTCCGCTGCGCTTCACCCCAAAAAAGCGCGGCTGCGACGTGCCGCGGGACGTGCCCGTTCTTTGTCTTGGGCTGAAAACAACGGTGATGCGCCGTGGTGGTTGGTTGTGACACCAGAAAGCCCTGGAAATGGAGGTTGAAAGCTGGGAAAAAAATGTCTATAAAACTATGATCATCTGATGTAAATTGTGGTTTTCAATGGGAAAATCATCTATAAATGGGGTATGACACACTATGACACCATCTCCCAAGCAAAACCTCAGGTCTTCGTTGAACCGTTGTGATTGTTTCTTTCTTTTCAGGTTTTTTCCAGCCGAAATTGGGATTTTCTTCATCACAAACTGTGGGAATCTGAGGAAATTTAAGCAATAGAATGGGTCATTACAATCCATTGGAGGAATTCCATTCTCAGCCAACAAACACCATTTGCAAAAACTGAAGTTTTGTTGGTGACTACCCAGAAGGGTCAATCTGGATCCCGTTGCCTTTTGGATTATTATACATTATATGATGATTAAGATGATTATTGTTATTATTATGATTATTATTATTATCACTATCATTGTCATTATTATTATTATTAGTATTATTATTATTATATATTGTGATATTATATATTGTGATGGTGATGGTGATGATGATTATTATTATGATCATGGATTATGTATCCCCAATAGTAGTGCAGGGTAGTAAAATAAAAAACTCCTCAGCACGAAAAGACAATCATATCTCCATATTGGTGTGATGGTTTTTGATGGTCAAGGCCTTGTACTTCATGATGAAATTCCCATTGACAAGTTTCTCATTGACCACCACTGGACATCATCACTGCTAGACGATTTGTGATGAGTTCCCCAGCAAATAGAGCCACTTGTTGATGGTTTCATCATGAGCCCATTCCACTGGGTTTCATCATTCCATGAAACTGGGTTTCATAGAGTAGGGAAGCATCATGAACCATCATCCATGATACCATGATACCCTCGTGAAAAGTAAATCATTTCTCACAAAAATGAGCCATGGCTTCCAGATGAAGAAATCTGGGGGGTTCCTGAGTCATGGAGGCACCCCAGTCATCCAGGCCCCTCATCCGTTGGATGTTCGGATTTTCCCATGGAAATAAACCCAGCCCAGTGGGATACCGGAAATGGCCAGCTGCACGGTAGCCCACCGAGCCGTGCTTGGTGTATTCCACATACCTGAACTCTGCAAAAACTGGCCACCAACAGCGCAAAATCGAAAAGTGCCATGGATTTTTCAGGGCCATGGATATTTTTTTGCAACTTTTTTGGCCATGGAAAAATGAGGAATAGCAGTGCTTCATTTTTTGCAACTTTTTTGGCCATGGAAAAATATGAAGCACTGCAAATTATAAACCTCACCTTTGAGTCTTTTTTTCCGTCAAAAGATGTGCGTTGCAGTTACAAAAAAAAACACGGATTTCGTGGGCCACGGAATGCATAGAATGAGGAAATATCCGCCACGGTAGATGTTGATTTGGTTCACTATTGGTTTTACCAAATCGTCTATGATCATCTATTGGTTTCCAAATATATTGGAATATCATCTTCTCCAATACCCTCTGGTAATTTAACATAGCTATGGAAAATGGCCATTTATAGTGAGTTTTCCCGTTAAAAAATGTGATTTTCCATTGCTATGTTAGTTTACCAGAGGGTAATACATAGATGATCGGAGGTTCACTACTGGTTTTACCACAGATGATTTCACCGTGAAAAGATGGTGACCTGAGGGACTCTGGAGGCAACGGTTACTATCTCACCTGTGGTTGAGCCACCCCCTCGAAAAATATGAGTTCGTCAGATTGGATCATCATCCTGGGGAAAATAAAATTCATGTTCCAAACCACCAACCAGTTATACATATGTACCTGTATATATATATATATATATACACCCTCTGGCAAACTAACATAGCTATTGAAAATGGCTATTTATAGTTGATGTACCCATTAAAAATTGTGAATTTCCAGTTCGTTATGTAAACGTTTACCAGGCCGGGTCTTCCCCAAGATAAAGCCAAGGGACAGGGTGATCACATCCTTTCCATCCTCGTTGTCCAAAACCTCCCTGAGGTATCTGTAGGCCCTCAGTTCTACAGCAGGAACCGCAACTGGCTGAGGCAAATTGGCAAAGCCCTTAAGAAGACGGGTGTAGAACTGTTATGATGATGGAAATGTGGGTGAAATTGGGGTTCATGGAAAAAACCTTACATCAATATATACATAAAAATCATTGAAAAACAAACTGGGACATACCACAGGACATGTTTATGAACCACACCGGATTCTCAGCTTTGGTTGTTCAAGGCACCCGGATTCTCCCGCAATGGGTCACCAAACATTCCCCAGTGGGTCTGGGGCGGGAACCGTGGAAAGGGTACCCATCCAGTCATAGTTGGTTTTGCTGGATGGGATGGTGATTCCCTCATGTGGTAATTTCATGTGTTCATAGGTGTTGACCCATCCCCCTTCATTGATTAACTCATCATTGATCCAAGCGGATTCGAAAAAAAATATGGAAAATAGGCCACTGATCCTCTGGTAGTTCAGCAGTTTGCTCTGGAAAAAACATGTTTAAAACTACGTTCATGGGCCATGTATAGCCATAGCACACTGTGAACCAGTTCGAAAGGCGACAGTTCCACCCTCAGCCGATGTACTAAGTACTACTTAACATGTACTAACTACTTACTCAGATTTGCTAAAGGAAACAGTTGAAACTCAACCCAACCAAAAATATACATTCCCTAGATAGATCCCCTGGTGAAACCCAACATATATATATATATATATTGTCCCTATACAGATTCCCTAATGGATTTCTCATTCATTGTTTTTTTAAACACTTGAAATGATGCCTTCGGATATCACAAAAAAGCTGCCGTGGTGCAGTGAGGGTGTCATCGCTGAGTCTCTATAACTATACAAACTGATGGTGTTTATGGTAGCTATTATCTATAGATAATATATATATATCCATATTATACTATATAGTTATAGTTATAGTCAGATTATAGTCAGCAACTTATATCTGGGCGGGGCACCACTTCGGGTTTTTGTATATCCATTTTTTTTGGGTTTGACATGGATCCAAGTTGAGTGGGCCATCATTCTCCAGAGATTTCTATCCAAAAACACATCCCAGTTCTCTGGGTCAACATCTGATAAGTTAGAAAATTATGGATCATCCATGATCATCCCATCATAATTTTTACATATGATGACTATATGATGACTAAGATTCAGATGTGCTTTGCAATCATATTATATAGATTTATATTATTATTATTTTTTCGTGTTTCTGAAGCGCGCAGAAAAAAATCCAGCGTTTTGCTGAAGGTTTACCCTCCGGCAATCCATGGTTTGCTGGAATTTGATCCAGCATTTTGAAGGGGAAATCATAAAACGTTTCACGAATCTCTACGAATCTCTGAATTTATGGACCATGGCTTCCATAGCTATATGAGCCATGGTCAATACTCACAAAAAATGGTTGATGGTCATCCCATCCATAATAAGGATCCAAAAATAATGGTTATTATAAATCCCTATGAACCATTGGATGACTAGCCCCTATTAATGGTGATTAACCATGAGTATTGACCATAGCTCATATGGCTATATGGCTATAGTTTAACCAGAGGCTACTAATTGTTTATACCATGGATTTCCCCAGCAAAATTCCGCTTCGCTCCGGGGATTCCGGGTTTCCACACGGAGTGATTTCCATGGAGTGCTTGATGCTGACCTTCGAAAAAAACGAAGCGCGGCTGGGATGGCTGGGAATTTTGGGATTTGGATTGGGATTTCACCAGCCAGTTCTGTCGGAATTCACCGAAATTTGGTTTCGGAAACGAATGGTGATTGATGTGACCCAAAATCATGGTGAAATCAAACGAACCCAAAAAATGCTTGTTAAAAAAAAAAACAGCATCCAAGAAGTATCATCATGAATTTCCATGGTAAGTATTTCAGCAACAAACAAATCCTGATTCAACTAGCAGTAACATAACCAACTGGACTGTGATTTGCTACATTTAAACCATCTCAAAGCGGAGACTTCACCATGGAAAATCTAGGCCCTTTAGTCCACCGAGCTTTAGTCGACCGAGCTCCGAGTCGAAATGTGGCATGAAGGCAGTTGTCACCAGGTCGTTCCAAACGAATCAAATCCATCTATCTATTGGATTAATATGTTATAATATGTTATAATCACCATTATATGGTTACAATCACCATTAATGGATGAATATCTTATAATAATCGTTCTAACTAGCGTTATAATATGCTATAGTCACTATAGTCTTGTTATAACCAGCATAAATGTCTAGTTACAAGCCAGCTTCGCTAAGGAACCACCAGCTTGTCCCAGGAATTGGCCGTTGCTGACCTCAGGCCGTTTCCCATATGTCTGAGTAGATTATAATAAGGCCATAAAAGGGGATAAGTTCCCGCAATCTAACCATTATTCCCAGAGACGAGTGACGGAGAACTATAAAATTTACCCAGATATGTGTTCCATCTCTTTGTTCAATGTGTTTTCCAAGGTTTTTTTCCCCAAAAAGACACCCGTATCCCGTATCCGTCACGGGCTGCTGCGGCGAACTCAGGCTCCCCGCCAACTTCTTCATACATCGCCCCCTCACCGCCGGTTTTCGGCGGCATCGCCCAGCTTTGTTTTCGGAAAAACATGCTTAAAAAATGCCCAGGGATGTAAGAAAGCATCAATAGGGATTTTGTAGGGATGGGGATTAGTCATCAACAATGGGACTAGTCATCACTTTGATTTATTGCTGGTTGGTGGTTGAGCCTACCCCTCTGAAAAATGATGGAGTTCGTCAGTTGGGATAATGACATTCCCAACTGAATGGAAAGTCATAAAATTCCATGGTTCCAAACCACCAACCAGGTATTTCATGGTGATTCTGCGCCTGTCAGATGGCCCATCAGATTTCAGAAAAAAAACGTTGAAACTCGGGCGAGGAATAAGCGTTTTTTCATGGGGATAGAGATAATTTTCTCATTAACAATCGGAATTCTGGGTAATTCCCGTGTTTATATATATTATCTGGTTGGTGGTTTTAACCATCTTGAAAAATATGAAAGTCAATGGAAAGGATTATCCCAGATATTATGGAAAAATAACAAATGATGCAAACCACCCATCAGATAGATAGATAGATAGATAGATAGATAGATAGATATAATTATATAATTATATATATATACCCTATAATTTACCCTCTGGTTATTTAGCAGTTTGCTATGGAAGCCATGGCCCATTTAGTGAGAAATGATTCATGATGTAATTCTCCATAGCTACTTTACAGTAAATTACCTGAAGGTATCTGAAGGTTTGATGTCCATACTTTCTCAAAAAAAAACCTTCGAAAAGGAAGGAAAGAGACATCTGCCCATTGGTGATGAAAATCCCTGTTGCTGTTTGAACCCGAACCGGGAACCCGTTATTCATAGAAATACTCTGAAATACAGTCTAATCTATTGTATTTCAATAAATTTCATGTATTTCCTTCAATAACCTGTTCTATTGAAATAAAATACTGTAGATTAGAAGATAAATCATCATCACTGATATACCCCCAAGATTTTCAACGTGCGTCAAAACCAAACCAGCACCCTGGGTTATCGGGTTGTCGCAGCAAAATAGTTGGTATCGCTGCAGATGTTCGTCACCCGGTTCCAAGATTCCTGTTGATTCTAACCCGTATCTACCCGTTCGTATCATCATTCTACAGAGTTATAAACAGTTATCAACATGTTGTAACATTATATATAATCACCTGACCAATATAACGCAGTTGTAACTTATAACATATTATAATATCAATGACGCAAGGTTATCTTATAATCTTCACATTTTTGGTTAACACCCCCCAGATTTCAAGAAATGCTCCGTTTTTCGTTACACGCCCGCCTCAGCCATGCGCAAACCTTGTTGGGCAAAGGTCGGGGCTCGCCGTTCGGAAGCTTCATCGACCTGGAGACTGGAGAATTCTGGAGATTTCTGTGAGCGAATCCCCGACCGGGCTCCCAGACGGGCTGCAAAAGGATTCCAAGACGGGGTTCCACACCACGGGCCTTGGAAAGATGGAGGTTCATAGCTGGGAGAATCCTCCTGTTTGATACACCAACTTGATGTCATTCAGAAATAAATTCATGTGCAAAGCTAAGATTTCTTAAGATACCCACATGGCTGTGAAATCAAATACTAAGTTGATACTGGACAAGTTACTATTGCTGTTCCAAGTTACTATTGGAAATTGGCACTCCGTTGGAAAAAGGGCGATTCTCATCACAGGATGTCGAATCATGGGAACCGGCCGCAAAAACGATGGCGCCATAACTGCGATTTCAAAAAGATAAACCGGCCGCAAAAAAAACATGACACCGGTACTTAGCCTCTGGTAATTTAAGTTAGATAACTATAGAATACTATAGATAACTATAGAAAGATCCAGCATTTTCTGGGTAAATCAACGATTTCAATGGGTCATTTTCCGCTATGTAACAGTTATAACCAGAGGATAGTTGTCATCCCACATAGCTATCACCCAAAGGGTGACCTCCCGGAGCACCCAAAAAAATTGGTTTCCACGCTTCCACTCCGGGCTGTTGGGCCGCTTCTCCTATGGCCCATCCGGTGGCCCAAAATGTGGGGCCACCGGGCCCCCGGTTCGATAGCTAACTTGCTGTACTGCAACTAGGATTGATTAGCGGGATATCGAAGTAGTTAGATGAACTAAGACAACCAATCTATAACTCTTTTTCAGGGGGCCTCGAAAAACACTTCTCGGACCATTAGAAAATTGGACCCTAGACCAATTTTAACCCCCAACAAAAATGGTGGCCCTTTTTAAAGAACTTAGTTACCTTACAAAAAACTTACTGACCCTAGTTATCATTAGCTATTCGTATAGTATTGTGATAAAAATGGCGTTTTCCGGTGGCATTTCTGTGGCGTAAACTCCCGGTTTGCGGAAAGAACTCCAACTTGGGATGATCGTCGAAGAGGGATCATAAACTGCGACGATAAAAATTGGGGCCTCCCAGTGACTGGTTACTGTTGGTTTATACTGGGATTATATAATAATAGTGGTTATAATATATACCAATAATAGTGGTTATAATACCAATAATAGTGGTTATTTCATACCAATAATAGTGGTTATATATGGTAATTAATGATGGGATTATATATAGATATAACATACCTGGTTGGTGGTATACATACCCCTCTGAAAAATCATGGAGTGAGTAGCAGTTGGGATGATGAGATTCCCAATATATGGAAAAATAAAAAATGTTCCAAACCACCAAACCATATTTGCCATAGTTATTGAATATCATGAATCCTGAATCGTTATTTGCGTATCATAAGCCATAGTTACTGAAGTTATGTTCACCAACTTAGCTATCGACTGGGGGCCCCACACTGTAGCGATATCAATTGCATTATCATCTCATGAACAAAAGAAAACGTAAAATGATTGTGTTGAAAAAACGATTTGAATCGATAGCGGACTCCCTTGTTCTTGGGCAGATGCATTCGAAGGGTATTGCAAGATCCATTGTTCATCGCTTAAATCTCTATTTGTCAACTAAAACCCACAAAATGATATAAAATGATCATGTTTTTCTATCATGGCCAATTGCAAACACCCTACACGAAATCTTGTTTAGCTAGTTAGGTTGAAGTATTGCCATCAAAATAACACACTACAAAATTGTATACCAGTGTGTTGCATGTTCTCCACATAACCCTTTTTTCATCACGGTTGATATCCAATTAACTCGTGCACAAGTAAACTCTAATTCCAATGACCAATCAACATCAATTAATCAGATGTTCCTTGTATTAAACATGTATTAAACCATGTTATTAAACCACCATTCTTGGTACTTAAACATGGTTAAACCATGGTGAAACCACCATTCTTGGTACTTCAACATGGTTACACCATGGTGAAACCCGCCACGTTTGCTAGGTCAACATTTCGCATCGCATCTTTCGTCGCGCTTTGCGCTTTGCCTCGGCTTGGGGGCCGTTCCAGCGGTAGTAGCCGTCACTGGACCTGGGATGGAGGAAGTCACTGGACCCAAAAAAGGATGAGGGAACTATATGGCAGTGTGTCAAAACCTTGTACCCCTGGTGAACATCAAAATAGCTGGTAAATGGATGTTCATCCCACTAAAAATGGTATTAATAGGTATTGATCCATACCCATATATAGTTAGCTAATAACAATAGCTATTTCCTCCATAGTTTCAGCTTATCGTAATCATCCTATGTCACAACAGGTAATAGCTAATTATGTGATGGCTATGGGTAATAGCTAAATAACATTAAATAACCTTATTATAATAATAACTATAACAATAGCAATAACTTATTAGCTATTTAATAACTTATTAGCTACTAATAGTAGCTATTATATTTTATTTCATAACAATTAGCTAAATAATAGCAATAACAATAGTTACCTCATCAAAAAAACTGCTAGTTATCAAAACTTGCTATGATTGACTTATCATTCTATAACTTATTATTATTGGTTATAAGCTAAGTGTAATAATTAACAAGGTTGTTGGTTTACAATAACTATTTTAAGTTAACGTTCAGTTGGTGAACATGACTATAGATCCCATGTTGGTGTATGATACGCACATAATTACATTTAGATGGGGATATAAACCAACTTATAACAGCAACTTAAGTATGGTTTATGGTAGATATAACATGATATAACTATATAGTTAATGGATGTTAATAAGGTTTCTAAACCAAGAGACACAACTGGGGGGCACCTCTTGCAGATGACCATAAAACGGCCAGCCCTCCGCAGTTCCATCATCACATCTTCTGTATCCGAAAAAGTGACATTCCGATGTCACAAAATCCCGATGATACCATACTAATCCATACTATATCCTATGTATTTCCACGAAACATCTCAAGGATATCTCCATGTTCTATCCCCCAACCAGAACCCAGAATATTTTTCTGGTTGCTGCTTCATCTTCCACTTGACCAGCCGGCCCAGCCGGCCCAGCCGGCCCCATTTATCGTTGGGTCTTCCGCACTCTTCGAAGCGCACCAGCAGCGCTTTGAAGTGCCTCTTGCCTTCTTGCAAGATCACCTGCGCTTGGGCATTTCTTGGATGATCAAATAGGTGTGGGCTTTCGGAGATCCATTCTTATGGGATTTTCTGGTGATATTAGGGGATAGGGATACAAAATATATAACCAATACTGTAATATAATGGTGATATGATGATGGTGATATGATGGTGATATGATGGTGATATGATGGTGATATGATGATAGGAATTGATATAACCATCAAAAATGAATCATAATGAACCATATTATCCTATCAATCATAATGAATCATAATTATATATCTAAATGAACCATATAAAGCAATGAAATGCGAAAACCTGAGGAGGTTCCCATGAAAAATCCCCATGGATCTTCCCAAGATGGGGCCTCCAAGATAACGTTCAGTTGCCTGAGATAAGTAGCTTAATTCTATGGTTTATGGTAGATTAACAAGTATAGTCAGTATAGTAAAGTATTCGTGCGTTTTCCCCAACCAGCTTATACCCTCTGGTAATTTATCATATAGCTATTGAAAATGGCCATAGAAATATAGTGGATTTACCCTTGACAAAAATGGTGGATCTTTCCGTAGTTATGGAGCAGTTTACCAGCAGTAACCAAACTGGAGGGGCACCATCCTGTATTGTTGTTGGTTTATCCCATGTTCCTGTAGAAGTCGAATCCCACGATCTCCAGCAGGAACCAGGGGAGCCCAGCCCGATGCCGGTAACATGTCCGACGATTCGGCATCGGGTGCTAGTCCTATAGGCTTTGTCTCCCCATCTCCTCAAAATCCCAGTCAGAACTCGTGTTTTTCTATCTTTTTCCTGGTGTTTTCGCCTTTCCTGTGAAAGTTATCCCAGTTCGTTCCCATTTGATTTATATGTTTCCTACTAGTATGTGGTTGGGGCCACTCTTGGTAGCTCCTATTTCTCCCGATTTCCCTAAACCACTGGATAGCCTATGAAACTTCTCCCACTTTGTCATCGCCACCAGCAGCGACCTCGCCAAATTCCATGTAGCTGGAGGTCCGCCCGAGATAGCGCGGACAGCCAGCGGTGTGGTCGTTGGCGCGCTTCAAGCGACTCAGCTTCTCGAACTCGTGCCTTCGGAGCAGGGGAGTTTGTCCCATGGGAACTGAACCACGCGAAGATATGGGGATTCTATTGGGATTGATTGGGAAAATGATGATCTGGTTGGTGGTGTACCTACCCCTCTGAAAAATATGAGTTAGTCAGTTGGGATTATGAAATTCCCAATCTATGGAAAAATAAAATTCATGTTCCAAACCACCAACCAGTGATTTACTCAAACAAAATAGATTTTACTGGGGGGTTGAGTGGATTTCTGATGATTTTTCCGGATAAAATGGTGAAACATTGGGAAAACGAGGATTCTCCGAAGTGGGGATCGCCTATTTTCAGACAAAGCCAGGTGGAAATCTTTGAAATTGGAATGATCATGGGATTGTTTGGGAAGTTCTATGGGGATTTCTCGGGAGTTCATTACAACAAAAGCAACCATATGAGGTGTAGTAATAAATTGCTGGTTGGTGGTTAGAACCCCTCTGAAAAATATGAAAGTCAGTTGGGATGATTATTCCCAATATACATATATATATATATATGGAAAAATAAAATTCATGTTCCAAACCACTAACCAGATAGTAATAACAATGATGGATATCACACCCTGGTTGTTATAACTATGGGATTTGTTGGTGAGCTTTTCGGGGGGTGCACATCCAAGTGAGCCCTGAGAAATACCACTATCCAAATGAAATTCTGGTTGATAAGTATCCCTATGCAAATGAGTCATCCCCCGGTAAACCAGATCGGCTCATAACCGCCTAGATAAACCAACACCCCAGACACTCTAGAGGGGCGACAAATGTACCTCTTGCCATGCTTGTGCCGTCAAGTTCGATGGGAATGGTTAAAACAATAGGGATTCTAAAAGGGATGTACCCTCTGGTAAACTAACAGAACTATTGAAAATTGCCAGTTATAGCTGATTTACACATTAAAAATGTGATGTTCAATAGCTATGTTAAATTACCAGAGGGTAAGTAAGCATCAATAGGGATTTTGTGATGGGGATTCGTCATCAAGATTGGGACTATATAAACACCTTGATTTATGGTCATCATGGTCATCCCATCGCTAGGAATCCAAACATCATGGGCAGAATAGCATCCCATTCATCCCTAAAAATTTGCTATGCCATCCAACTTTTGACCATGATACATACGCTATAGTAAAAAAAAATGGCATCAATCTATTGTCAATTCAGGGAGCGCAATGGGATTTTTTTGGGGATGCAATGAAATTTCATGTGGGATATGGCCAACCTATGGTTTACACACTATGGGTCATATTGTTTGATCCATGATCCAAAGTCCATGGTTTTCACATGGTTTCACCATAGGAGTTTTTTGTGTGTTAGATCCTATGGAGAATTTCATGAAATCCATTGAAATCCTGGATTTCCAGAACTTGTTGTATGAAGACCAGAGGCCTTCACCCACAGCGAAAAAAAAAACTCGTCTGAGTCCATGTTCAGCCCCTTATTATGTCTGAACACGATGGGAAAAACACGATCTCTACCATCATCCGTAAAATAAACGGTAGATCCTTCTTAAGTAGGGCCGAAAAAGAATGGATGCGTCTGAAAGCGAAGTTTTCCTCCCAATGTCCTGCAAAAACCAGGGGGCATAAGTCCACTTTCAGACACACTCCGAGTTGACTCCAGAGCCAATTGGTGCCCATTCCCGTTTTAGCCCAGAGAGATTCCTGACCTTTACCCTCTGGTAATGTCCCACATAGCCATGAAACATCACCGTTTCAATCGGTACATCAATGAACTAAATGGGTCATCTATAATCATCTATACCATAGCAAACAACCTAAACTGTTGAACCCAGAGGATGCGAAAATTCACAAGTCCCATGCTCAAGTCACTGGAGCTTCCCTCCATCACTGATCTTAGCCATTCGAACGTTGTTTAAACCTCTAATCAAACGTGGCCCGAGATTGCAAATCTATGAATGGCCTGGGATTTTCCATGTTTACCCGAGAAAACAACAAACCTCTCACGACTCTCGTGCTTGCTGCTGAAAATGTCCTGTTTTCTCTGGGTTTTTAGTATCTCCATGAAATGGTGGGCTAGACCCCCTAGACATGTCCATGCTTGCTGGTTTTCCATCCTTCTTTTTCTTTGTGGTGGGTGTATCTTATCTGGTTAGGTGGTATACCCCTCTGAAAAATATGAGTTCGTCAGTTGGGATGATGACATTCCCAATATATGGAAAGTCATAAAATTCCATAGTTCCAGTCACCACCAACCAGTTATGATAAATTTTTGCCGGGGAAATGATGACCATTACCATTGAAAATCATGGGATTCGATGGGGAAACCCCCCATATTCACACAACGTTGGTCAGAAAAAAAAACACAAAATGTGCCCGTGAAAAAATCCCGTGACCGCTGAAATCTCCATTGTTTCCCCCCATCGAGGGATGCATCATTGCTTGCCCACTGGTGCCCCCGTGAAATGTGTTGCTTTATGTTCACCAGAAAAACTATGTTTTTTTTTTTAATATCATAAACGACACAAAAGACCTAGTGAAATAAAGCAACTTAGCTATCTCAATCCCATAAAACTATGATTTCTCACCATGGAATCTCATCAAATCCCATTGTTTTGCACCATGAAATCCCATGAAACATCTGATCAAACCACCAAGCAGAATTCCAATCCCAGTCCCAGTCATCTCATTGAGTCTCCACCTGTTCTCAAAGCTGTTCTTTTTGAAGTTGTCGGGATCGCCAATGAGATAGTCCCACAACCTTCGTACGAAAAAAAAGCAGATGATTTTATGGGATAGAATAGTGACTGAAAAGTGATTTTTAATGGTGATGAATGGTGATTTAACGGTAATTTTATGGAATAGAATGGGAATGCTGTTGGTGCTGCCCAGGTGAGTTAAATCGCCTTGCTGTTGGTGGTTATGACCATACTCAGATGGGGCAGCATAAATCAACTGACATGCCCTCTGGTAAACTAACATAACTTTGGAAAATCACCATTTTTTATGGTTAAATCAACTATAAATCACCATTTTCAATAATTACCTATGTTAGTTTACCAGAGTGTAACGTTGAATTAAACTTAGATGAGATGGGGGTTTACATCAACCAACACACCCAATCACGACGTGTGGGGGCACCACCTACCTGTGGACCTATAAAGATCATCATAGGGAAAATCATGGGCAACATGTGGTAACATGTGCAAAAATAGGGATGAAACATGGTGAAAATTTAGGGATTGAACTTGATTGAACTATCAACGGGATTTTGTTGTAAGGATCATAGTGTCATCACGGGGTGAGTCATCAACTATGAAAGTATAAACATTGGATTTATGAATTATGGGCATCCATCTCATATTTTAGGAATCCGGCTGCACAATGGGTATATAATATGTATCTATATGACCAATCCATGGCACATGTTTTCGATGGGTCGAAACCCACCCCATCTTGGTGATTTCACCGAAAAAAACTTGGGGATCGCACTGTGAGGAAATAATAAGGCTCTGAAGCGAGTTCTTCAAGATTGTCTGGTTGGTGGTTGAGCCCTACCCCTCTGAAAAATCATGGAGTGAGTAACAGTTGGGATGATGACATTCCCAATATATGCAAAAATAAAAAAAATGTTCCATCTGGAAAGATATACCATAACGCACCAACACTTGCTCGCTCTATATCCACAAATTCCTGATTCTTGTCGAGTAAGCCATGTTATTTTGTAGGTGAAAGTTCGACTTTGGTCTGATTTCCTCCCTATTTTGCCTGTTAGATCAGTAGAATTATCCCGTTAGCTAGTTCAATACGTTGCTAGTTGTCAAAAAGCCCGTGAAGTCTCAAGCTTTTTGTCGCAGTTTTAAGTGGAGTAGTTGGGTACTGTTTTTTGGTCAGGTAGTCATGTTTACCATCTGGTTATGACTAACATAGCCATGGAAAATCACAATTTTTGATGGGAAAATCAACTATAAATGGGCCATGTTCAATAGCTATGTTAAATTACCAGAGGGTAATTAGTACTTCTCCAATTTCAGGGATATCCATTCTTGACAAGCCATGAATAGGGTGCTTTCTGAGTGAAAACTGCGTCTTGTTTTTCCCGATCATACATGGAACATGTTCAGTTCTGGTTTCCTACGGGAACATGTTCAGAACCCCCAAGACAGCTGTCATAACCGATCTCAGAAACCCCGCATTTCTCTTGCTGGTTAGACTACGATACTGTATCCCCATCAAAATGGCGACTACCATTCCCCAAACGTTTTCTTAGACACCAATGTATGGGCAATTCGCTGGGTCAAACTGTTACTTGAATTTGTCTGAAAATAGGGTACAAAAAAAAAAAACTGTGGTTAAAAAAACAGTTTATCATTCTTTCTCCCATGAAATTGCGATGAAAATTGGGGATTCGTGGCTAACGGTGATCGACTCATCGACCCCAGGCCCTAGGTGAATTGTGTTGGTTGAATCACCTCAGACTGAATATATGAGCCATAAACCATTTAAGCTAAACCTATAGTTATAATAAGTGTTATATTATATTCATAAACCAAGTGTTATAATAAGTGGTATATTAATATTCATAATATTCATGAACCACCTATAGTTATTATTAGTTATTAATATTCATAAACCAACTTAAGCTGCTAAGCCGGCTGTGAAACTTCAACTTAAAGTGAAACCGATCAAGGGGCCCTCCATTCTTCGGTCCTCCCTGGTCCTCCATTCCATCACTCGGGCCCCGGCTGCACAACGGCGAAGATGTCGCTTTCCATCTTGTGGGCGCCAATCTGAATGGGGATCAGCTGGATAAGACAGGGCGACTTTCTGGTTTCTCCAGCTGAGTTTTTTGTTTTTTGTGGAAAAAAAAATTCACTGGCTATTTACTATGTTTACATATTATGTAAAAATGGCGTAGATCTATAGTTTTGTATGTTTTAGTTAGATGGGCTCGTAAACCAACTCAAGACTAGCCTCGGGCGGCTACCTTTCAGTGGCCCTCATCCCATTTCGGCCAGTTATGTTTGCTTTACAAAGCCATTAACTATAGATAATAACCAGGTTAACTAAATGTTTGATAACTTTTTTTTGACCAAAGAACTAGGTTAACTATCTTTGATAACATCTACCATAAACCATCGTTAAGTCCGTTCAGTTCTCCAAGCACCAACGACATCCGCGGATCGGATCGCTATCGCTGGGATGCTTCGTCCCATGGGTGCATCACCGATGGGCAAAAATGTGGGAGATCTCCAGGATCAATGTTGATGGAGGTACTAACTTAGTAGCATATTTTGTGGACCTTATATTAATGGAATCGCTAGCTCCAATAAATCGGTTCCTGTTGCATGGCCATTGAAAATGTGGCACTCAAAAAAACATGTTTAAGTACAATATATGCCCAGGATATAGCATGATATAGGGTATATTGTCAGCCTTTTTTTTGCATACGAATATATACGAATATATGATAATATATGTATAGCCTCTGGTAATTGTTCACAGTTTGTTATGCAAAAACACCATTGTTAATACGTAGATCAACGGATTTATCATCTACTGTGGCCATTTTCCACAGCAAACTGTTACATGACCACATGTGTAGATGATTCCCATTCAAATCCGGATTTATGATGGTTAGCACTTACGACTTACAAGGCTGATAGCAGAACTAGTTACATTCCATGTCCATCAGAAATGGGTGGTTTTCTAGCCGGGAAAATCCCATCAAACAAAATCGTCGAACATAGCTATGATTGCTTGTGGAAAATCACCATTTTTGATGGGTAAACCATCTATAAATAGTCCATTTCCAGCCATGTAAATGCAACAAATTGGGGATTTCGGATTGCCAGAGGCTCCACGATTTTTTCAAGTTTTCCAGGCACTTCCAGGCACCAAACGGTCGGCCCAAAACTTTTCTGTGCTCCGGACCAAAGCAAAAAGCATGTTTGCAGCATCATCCTTACCTTGGAGTACAAATGGTGATAGAATTAATACATATTAATACCATCTGGTAAACGTTTACATAACCATGGAAAACCACCATTTTTAATGGGTCAATGGGTAAATCAACTATTTCTATGGCCATTTTCCATAGCTATGTTAGTTTACCAGAGGGTAATTAGGTATTCTATGTTCATTATAGATGGTTAAACATGGTTAAACATGGTTAAACTATGGGAGTTGGAAACACAAAGCTATTTGCTTCAAGTAGACTTTTTTCCTAGCGTTTTATGGTGATTCATCTGGATTATGATCAGCAATAGTTGGCCCTTTTAAAAACCAGACTCCGTGTAACCCCCCCAGACAACACATCCATTGTATCCTACAACCCAAAAGTCATCCAACTATGAACCTATCCGTGGGACTTCCTGTTCAGAAAATGATCCGAACAGAAAGCAGGGGGTTCCACATTTACCCTCTGGTAAATTAACAGTTCGCGACATAGAAAATGGCCATAGAAATAGTTGATTTTCCCATTTAAAATGGCAAAATCACTATTTGTACTGAGTAAATCCACTATTTCTATGGCCATTTTCTATGTCGCAAACTGCTAGTTTACCAGAGGGGAAACGTTGATTGCCGGGACGGCATACCTAGTGGTGGTCAGACCTGGCTGAGGTGGGTCATGTCGTCAGGCAAAGAACTCCTTTATGACCGATGTCATAGTTTTTGATGTTGAACACCGCCCCAACTGCTGCCATAGTTGGTTTTATATACTATATATATATATATGTGTTTATACTATTACTATTACATCCCCATGACTATCCCATTAAATCACCATATATATATAATATATATAATATACGCTATCATACAAATTGATGAGAATATATCATGAAAAACATCCTCACTATTCCCGGCCCTGAAATCTCATGAAACCTATGGTGAAACCCGGGTTACACCCCCACACGTTGCCGAGCACAGCAATGTTTTTTCCGGTCTCAGTATGGTCTCTGCGCGTATGGCAGTGAGTTCCAGTTGCATCGCCTGGGAGATCAGCGGTTTTTTTGAGCAAGAAATTCATGGGGATATTAGCTATGTTAAATAGGGATGTACCCTCTGGTAAACATACAAAAAGCTATTGAAAATTGCCATTTATAGCTGATTTACCCATTAAAAATGGTGATGTTCAATAGCTATGTTAAATTACCAGAGGGTAAGTAAGCATCAATAGGGATTTTGTGATGGGGATTCGTCATCGACAATGGGACCAAACACTTTGATTCATTGTTGGTGGTTGAGCCACCCCTCTGAAAATTATGAAAGTCAATGGGAAGGATTATCCCTTTTTTATTATGGAAAATAAAATTCATGTTCCAAACCACCAACCAGTATACCACCTGGTAAATTAACATGACGACCCTGGCATTTTTCGGACTTGGAAATGGTTAGAAGATGAGTTAAACCACTCAAAAAGGCGTGTAAAATCAAGATCGAACTGTCAATTTACCATATCGGGTATTGTATCCATGGATTTACCAAGGGGATTTGTTCGCAACAAATGGATACAAATGTGCATACTATACTGGGATATACTGGGGATATATATATATATATATCAATTTCACCAACTTGATATGATACTTGAGTTTACTTGGTACCCAAAATGGGAATTTTTGCATCATGGGAAACAAAAATGATGGTTATAGTGTTTAATAAGGGCCCTATGTTTCATGGTTGCTCCAGTTCAAAACTCTTATTAAAATCCCAAAGGAACTAGTTTGTTGATAAGTCATTTGACATTATTCTCATCATGTTCCAAGAATTGATGCTTCAACCAAAAATATTCTATGATGTTCTATGATAATCTCGTCAAATAGTGGTTTTTGCCCTCATATTTGATGGTTAACCCTCCTACAAACTGGTGCCTTCCCCAGCTCTGTTTGGTGGTTTATACACCATTGTGATTCAAGGTATCTACCATAAACCCAATGGCTATTGGAGTTATGTGCACAGAAAACTCAACGAATTAGCTCATTGGGGCACCACTGTGCATTCATGAATATTAGTTGTCTATAATCCATCATTCATTATTATCATAATTATCAGAAATGTTATGAATAAAATGCATGGCTATAGTTTCACAAATTTGCAATTTTCCATGATTAAGTATCCAAAATATGTGTCTTAACCATCCTAACCATCCATGGAATTTATATAGTCATCTATATGTTCATGGTTTTCAGGGGAAAAACACCTTTTACAATGTGAATTATGGTAACCATTGGTTTTACCATAGAAACAACTTTTAATATGTTTTCTGGTTGGTGGTTTGAACCCCTCTGAAAAATATGAAAGTCAGTTGGGATGATGACATTCCCAACTGAATGGAAAGTCATAATCCAGTCATGTTCCAAACCACCAACCAGTGATTATTAACCATCATTAACCATCATTACCCCATACTAAACCAATGTTTTTATATGGTAACCAACTCGCCATTTAGCTGGCACCAACCACACCTGTAGGCGACCATCGAAGGCGTCCATACGTCTGTGAAGTCCCAGCAGTAAGTCTTTCAGCTCCTGCGATGGTGAAATCTATGGGAAAATCCTATGGAAAATGTGGGGAAAACGGAAGATCTGAGGGAAAATCCTATGGAATCCTATGCAAATCCTATGGGATAATGGAAGATCTGAGAATGGAAAATGGAAAATCTTGAAAATCCGGAATCCCAGTATGAAGCATGGTAAGTGGACATGGGACTTGTGGGACTTCACTCGGACTTGCAGTGTGCCATGGTCTATTTGCCAAAAAATGACTGGGTGATTTTGGGCAAGGGCAAATGTTGGGATTCATATTCCAGCACCATGGTTTCGCATATGGGAAATATCCTATAAAATCACTAGGGAGGATACATTCGCCACATCCCAGTGGCACGTTCGCCTCCTCATCGGCCGATGGACTGGCCATCCCAGACCTGCTGGGAGATCTCTCAGATCATTTTTTCAGGAGCTGAGACAAGATGAACATTACCTAAGGGTAGATGTTTGTAGATGTTTGTAGATGTTTGTAGATGAGGTATTTTTCTTCAGTGAGGCCAGCCTTTTTTTGATGTTGCCCTGGAAGAAAAAGTCGCCCATTTTCACAACAAATTGACCGACCATCTCCAACCATTCACTGACAGGTTTATTGCTGGCCGTCGTCTTGATCCTCAGCCAATCTTCAGGTTGACCCAGTGGCAATCACCAGATTCTGCGGCTTTTCTATCCACAGATATTTGCTGCTATAAAAGCCACCTTAAAAGGATAGAAAAGTCAAGTTTCCACTCTAAAAATCATCTACCCCTTGGTATTCATGGCGGAAAATCCTTCATTTAAGACGAAATGTTACCATTAAAAACTTCCATTAAAGGTTCCGGGAGTTTTCATCGACACCATTGTGGGTATCTCTCTTGGGGGGTTACTATAAATCAATGGATTGGTTTAAGGGAAATTTTGCAGGAAACGCCCATGATCTTCATGGGAAATCAATGGTTTCCGGTTAAGATGTTCCCTAAACCAATCCATTGAATAAAACCACCACATGGGTTTGTCTGAATAAATTTACCCCAAAATCCATGGAGATTTCTCATCAAATTCGAAGCTTTAGCCTGTACGTCCCGGAAAAAAAAAAAAACATGTGGAGGTGTCCTAAAATGGGGCCCAAAACATCATCCAAGTCATCATCAAAAGTCATCAAAAGTCATCAAAAGTCACCAGTCATAGACTATCTTAATAATTGAAAAAGTATGAAAAAGTCATTGAAACCGGTATTCTATGGTTATCTTTGGGCTTTTACCCTATCTAAAACCGGATCAAACGATCAACCCCACGAGATCTCCCGGGCCCCCGTGGCCCGTCGTGGTCACCGAGGCGCTTCCCGTTGTGCCGTCGCATCTGCTCGTTGCGGAAGCCTGCGGTGATGATCCCAGCGGGCAACGCGAAGAGCCCAATGCCTGGCCAAGTGGCGCAAGGTGAATGGAGATTCAATGGGAGATTTTTCATCGATATTTCATGGGGTAATTTTTTTGGATTTAGTGGAGGTTTAATGGGATTATTGTGGGAGATTTATGGAGATTTAATGGGGTTCATCGGTTATTTATGGAGATTTAATGGGGTTCAATGAGATATTAATGGGATTAAATGAGGATATTTGATTGTGTTTAATGGTGGTAAAGCATAGTAAAGCAATGTCATAATTTATGGCATTGCATTATCACCATTCAACCCAGTCATAAACCACCCTTTTTCATAAATCGATGGTTTCCATCCCACCAGAAATTGTCAATTTGCTGCTGGATCCTGAGTGCCAACTCAGCAAATCCGAGTCGAAGAATTGTGTTTAGTAAGGTTTCTTCGGCACAAATGGGGATATTCTTTGTTTTGTTGTTTTGCCGAAATGTGCACCAACTGAAAGACGGGGATAGTTCACTGACAACATTCTGTCAAAGAGCGTGTCGAACATGTAGAACATGTAGAACGTACAGTCACCAAGTTGGATGTGTAAAACCGCATTCCACAAAAGTCCCCAGTGTTTTCCAGGAGACTTTTGTGTCTAACGGTGGCCGTGTACATCTGTTGACACACCTTATTCATCAAGGGGTCACTCAGTGTAAAAAAAAATGCCACAGGCATTCAGCCAAAATCGACCCAGCCAAAAAAAAAGGTTTCTAAGGTGGGCAACATTCTTCTGCCTGTTGGTTTGTATCCCGCTTTCTACCTCTGGGTTGATTCCTCATGATTGCTGCCCGTGCATTGGGCCTTTTTCTGCGGCCAAGCTTTCCAGTAGCGAATGGATTTGAAAAAACGACTAGTGGCCCTCCAAAGCTGTAGATAACTCATGATATTCATGGTATATATTCCGCATTATGTAAATCAGAGGGTTGCTCCCAACACCCCAGATACGTTTGGGTGCTGAGCTAAATGTTTCCCCCCTTGTGGCAATCATGGAAACCCTACCTTGGAGTAAGCCTGGTGAATCGTAAGCTTAGGTATAGTTTATAAACCAAGCTATTCAGTACTGTACTGGTTTAATATAAGTACTATACTATGTATAGTATATCAACTATAAACCAGTACAGTATAGTATTCATATAATTTTATATCTAAGGTGAATCTAACATAATCTAACTATAGCTATGTGATATATCCAATATACAGTATATAAAACCCTCATAAAAGCGAGTGAATCGAGCTGTAAACCACAACTTGGCTCATCATCTCCCGAAAAATCACCATTTTCTGTGTCGACCCGCCGCTGGAAATGTCGCTGATCAACAGCCCGGCAGTGGTTGGAATTGACCCGGCAGTTATATGACACCGAAAATCCCAGAAATTCCCAGGTTATATATACTATATATCACATTTACTTGGTGAATCACCATTGAATCGAAGCCACTCAATCACCATTCGAATCCAATATCCCATTCAATCACCATAAATCACCATCAAATCTATCCCATATATCTCATTCAATCACCACTATATTCCATGTTATTCAAATCCAAAAAAAATCACCATCAGATCTTATTCAAACACCAAATCTCCACCAACCCCGCGCCCATCCGCACCTAGGAAGGCCGTAATGGACGCGACGATACGACCCATGGCGCTCTCGGGGTAGAGATCTCCGTAGCCCACCTGAGATGGGCAATTTATATGGCCATGTTGCAGGGAAATCACTGGTAAAAATGGAGAAATATCTGGGTCAATACTGGTAAATCTATGGTTAATGATCGGTTAATGGTTTTTTTTATGTGAAATCTATGGTTAATGGTTAATTAATTAGTGAAATTGAGTGGTGAAGCGAAAGATTTTTCGGTTTCAGTGGCAAACATATGAGATGTTGATGTCGCGGATGGGTTCGATGATGTTGGATGGGGAAATTCGTCATGAAACCAGCAAAGATATGGATCCAGACTTCCGGGGGGTTCCATGGTAGGTTTTTTTTTTCGGATTCATCGGAAAAAAGGAGCTTTACCAGAAGACTATCAACAACAAAAGTCAGGACTGTTTAGCAAGAAACTGCAGTTCATTTTCTTGCAAGGCCCCCATGCCCAAACTTGGACACCCTGCGAAGTAGAGCTGGAAAATCCATGCAAATCCCAATTCTTTGAATGTTGTTGGGAGAATCAAACTAAATAAAATTGGTACTCCATATGGGAAAATCCATGAAAATCATGAATTCTTTGAAGACTTCCATATTGGTGAAATGTCCATATCAAATCGGTGAAACATCGCGAGTTCTCCTGGATCACTCCGATCCAACACGTCGCGGCGCTGTGGTGAGGGCAGTGGTGCCCCACCAGAGGCAATCCGCGACACTTCCTCAGAAGATCACTGGGGAAAGGGAGCTTCTCTGGTCGTTTTTCGCCCCTCCGAAAAATCATGGGATTTTGTTATGGGATAATCAGAAAAATAATTGGGATTATAATTAATAATAGTGGTTTTAATACCAATAATACTGGTTGGTCGTTTTTCGCCACCCCTCTGAAAAATCATGGACTTCGTCAGTTGGGATGATGACATTCTCAATTAATATGGAAAGTCATAAGATTCCATGGTTCCAAACCACCAACCAGCTGATGTTTTTTGGTTTTTTTTGGGTCATTCTTGGTGCTTTTTGACGATTTACTGTCACTGATGTTTTACGGTGATGTTTGGGAATCTCGACTACTGATGTGGCTTAAATGAAAGTTACTGTTGCTTAGGTCTGAGTCGAAATTCGCACCCCATTTTTTGTCGATGGCAAAAAAAGACTCTGCGAATGACCATTCCATCTGCGGCCGGGCTTGCAATGTTGATCGACACCCAAATAGAATTGACTGATCTTTGGTGATCTTGGGATTTTCAGATGACCTGTGCAGTTTCCCTGCTTGTACATTTTTTCATGTTGTTCGAAATCAACATGGAGAAAAAACATAAATTCCAAATCAGCAACAAAACAAAACTATACTCACACTAGTTTTGGTTTTTTGGGATTGAGAATCATAAACTGTTCATAAATCATTCATGAAGATTGGTGATTAGCCAGCTATGAGAATCATTCATGTTTTTTAGGTCTTACGAAGTGGTGCCAGCTATGTCAAGTCGTCGGTGAAACCACCGCCGATTCGCCTCCGGTTTTCGGGAGAATCATGGCACCAAATAAGGGGACGACATCGACTTTTTTTTCCGTTGCCGATGGAGAAATTGGCCATGAAAATCCAATGGGTACCCTCCATAGCTATTGAAAATGGCCATTTATAGTGAGTATTCCCATTAAAAATGGTGATTTTCCATAGTTATGTTAGTTTACCAGAGGGTAACCATCAAATCATAGGCAAATCATGAAAATCCAATGGTGAATTCTACCCAAACCCCACCCAATTCCCTATGATGTGATGGCCACTTAGGGGGGGTGTGTAATTAATTATTCCCTCTTCACATCCAAGCGATCCAAGTCCAGATTTAACATGTCTTAGATCTCTATGATGGTTAAATCCACCTATATATTGGACAGTGAACCCGTGATTTTCTGTTAAATCCCATGAAGAAAATGGATGAAAATGGGACCTAAAACCAGATGTATCCCAATTATCCCATGATATGTCCATATATTTCCCAGTTCCATGATTTTCCCACTCGATTCCTCCATTTACCCGGCCTGGTAAACGTTACAAAAAACGATGGAAAATCCCCATGCTATTAATGGATAAATCAACTACTTCTATGGCCATTTTCAATAGCGAACTGTAACTAATTACCAGAGGGATCCAGAGGGTAGTTCGGTGATTTTCCCAAATTTCCCATGATTTTCCCATGACCGTCATGGCGATTTTGAATCGAGGCGCCAAATTTGGGGTTGCTGGGCGCCTCCACATAGAACATCACGATCTCAGCAACGGTTGGAATCACCGTGGAGATTTCTTCGTGAAGAAACCTTGGATTTGGGGATTTTATGGTGACTTTATAGTGATTTTTGGGGGATTTTATCAGGTTTCATCATGGGATCGAGTTGAAGAACCATACTGTAGGGACTTTTTTATGGCGATTTTATGGGGAGATCTTGGGATATTTTTCCGGAAAGATTGGGCAAATCATGTAGAAATCATGGGAATACAGTGGGATATAACCAACATGTTGGTCTATTGTTGATGACATTTTTTCACCAACAAAAGATCGGGACTTTACCAGCAAAGAATTGAACAAATTTGATCAAATTTGTACAACAACAATTCATGGCGATGGAATTGGCAAATGGATGATCTCCAACATGGCGATGATCTCAATTGTTGGATAAGTAGGTGACCACTGCGCAACTTAGCTAGAAATTGGATGTCCCCAGAAGTACATGGCTTTCTTTGTGGTAACCCACAATATATATATATATATATATATGTAGGCTATCCCCAACTAGGCCTTCTTATAAACCACATATCTCCATATGTTGTTAGTTAAATCATATCAAATCCCCACAATATCCCATATGTTTCAGGATGTTCAACCCCACCACTAAATATTATAGTAGATGGATGTTTCCCTATATTTCCAAAAAATTGCATCAGCATCCCTCTATCTACATCTAGCTTTGTCTGAAAATAGGGAAGCCACGGGACCTTCAAATCCCCCCGGTTTCCCCTATCCTTTTCCCTATGAAACAGTGTCAGTGGGAAATCCACCATTTTCAAGGAGTTTTCCCAATCCATTCACCCAAAAGATGTCGCAAAGTGAGGTCGTAAAATAGATCCAAAAAGATGTTCATATCTTCTACCCGGCCTGGTAAACGTGAAACAAAAAACGAACTGGAAAGATCCACCATGTTCTAGCTGGGTAGTCATCCACTATTTCGACTGGGTCATGTTCTATGTCGCGAACTGCAACAGTCATTACCAGACAGGATCAAAATAACATCCCCAGCAGTGATGATCCTGCCTGGGACCCCAAGAATTATGGCTTGTATACATCCCCATGATATCCCATTAAAATCAATAATCACCATGTTTTATAGGCAGAAAAATCCACATACCCAGCATAAAAGTGTGGAGTTCTGTTTTCAAAAAAATACGATCAATGATTGTCTTTATTGGATGGTGGGGATAATTGGAGATAATTCTTACTTTAGCCCACTTGACATCCATTCTTCAAACTCATGGAACATCATCATGAATCGTAGAAAGCACCATGTTTTTTTCCATGAAATCCCCCCATGAAAATCGTAAATCCACCAGAAGTGCTGATAAAATCACATGTTAAAAACTGAAAATCCCCATAGAAATCATAGAAATCCCATAGAACCCATAGAAACCATAGAAATCATAGAAATCCCAATAGAAACCATAGAAATCCCCATAGAAACCACAGAAATCTCCGCGACTCCATCGCGATTCTCGGGACTTTCTGGAGGTCCCCGGCAGAGCAGCACATCAACATCGTCAGGGCGATGGCCACCGCTCCACCCAGCAACCGACCCTACGACGAGTCTGGGGATTTTTTTCGATGGGAAAATGCTGGGATTTTTGAAGTGGAAAATCACTGGGAAAACATTTTTTTGGGGAAAATTCTATGGGAAAAATCTCGAAATGATATACCCTCAGCTACTTGGGGGGCGGGGTGGGTTACTGTAATGTAGACCCTAAACGTGGGGTCTAAAAGGTTGTTTGGCCAGGGGGAATGTAAAAATAATTTCGTTCATCTAGACCTTTGGGCTGGTCCAGTATTTAAGGTCTACTATGGTTTTCCCACTGTCTCTACATATGCTCCTAAAAATCCAACTTTTCATGTGCACCGAACACATTTCATTTTTGCATGTGCCACTGGTGGGCGTTTCGTAATCCCAAGCGACAAGACACTTCAGTTTGATCATACCCTCAAGATCAAACAAGGTTTCAAAAAACCCAAGGCTTTTGACATCCCTCAACGGAGAGCAGAATAGAACCCCAACGTCTACGCATGGTGGGGTTCTAAAATCGTGTTCCTGCAAGCCATAAAATTATTGAAAAATGACATGTATTCTTCTGTTTTGTGTTGAACACATGCTGCGTTTCATTTGCATATTGCCTTTGTCCTCCCACACGCAGTGCGCGGTTCAGGTCATCGCAATGCTTTAGATTTTCTATTTTTTGCCGTTTTTCCTAGGCCGCGTCAGGCCCACCTTTTCCGGAAAATATATGCAGAACTGCAGAACATTTTTTAAAGCAACGTCGGGACGGATGCAAAATTGGATTGCAACCTGTACGCTTCCCCACAAAGATTGCGTCGTTCAGTCATCTATTGAAGCCACCGTGCCCTCACCTTGTTTTGGCAAGCGGTGTGCAAGATCATCGCTTGTGAAAGGAAAAATCGACTGGACCATGACCAGTCTCAAAATTTACTGAGAGTTATCAATCTCTCCTTCTTCGTTGTTCTCCGAAAGTTCTTTATCAGATGTGTTGCTATCAAAAGAAAGGAGGTGGTGGGTAACAAAAAGGATGCAAAAAAATGTAGACTGTAGAAGATGTGTCAAAGCATGGCTAAGTTGGAATATGGCTGGTCACATATCAGCGCCTGTGAGTCTAGAATGGTTCCCTCCAAGCTTTAAAAACAGATTGAAACGCATTGACCTGGGAAAAATGATGATAGATTTCGTTTTTTTTTCAAACGCCTTGGCTGAACCAGAAGTGTTGGCATCTACAGAATGCAGATGGTGGATGAAAACAAATGTGCAAGGAAGGCCAAGTTGGGTTATGGCTGGCCAACAGTCAGCACCTGTGGGTCTGGAATGGTTCCCTCCAAGCTTTAAAAACAGATTGAAATGCATTGGCCTGGGGAATATGATGATAGACCCTGCATTTTTTCCAAACGCCTTGGTTGGACCAAACGTGTTGGTATCTAAAGAAAGGAGATGGTGGATGAAAACACATGTGCAAAGGGATGTGGAAGTAGGAGAGGTGTCAAAGGAAGGTTAAGTTGGGTTATGGCTGGCCACATGTCAGCACCTCTGGGTCTGGAATGGTTCCCTCCAAGCTTAGAAAAACAGATTGAAATGCATTGGCCTGGGAAATATGATGATAGACCCTGCATTTTTTCCAAATGCCTTGGTTGGACCAAAAGTGTTGGTATCTAAAGAAAGGAGATGGTGGATGAAAACACATGTGCAAAGGGATGTAGAAGTAGAAGAGGTGCCAAAGGAAGGTTAAGTTGGGTTATGGCTGGCCACATGTCAGCACCTCTGGGTCTGGAATGGTTCCATCCAAGCTTAGAAAAGCAATTGAACCGCATTGACCTGGGGAAAATGATGATAGACCCTGCATTTTTTTCCAAACGCCTTGGTTGGACCAAAAGCGTTGGCATCTACAGAAGGGAGATGATAAATGAAAACAAGCGTGCAAAGGGATGTAGAAGTAGAAGATGTGTCAAAGGAAGGCTAAGTTGGGCTATGGCTGGCCAACAGTCAGCACCTGTAGGTCTGGAATGCTTGCCTCCAAGCTTTAGAAACAGCTTGAAACACTTTGACCTGGGGAAAATGATGATAGACCCTGCATGTTTTCCAAACGCTTTGGTTGGACCAAAAGTTTTGGTACCTACAGAATGGAGATGCTAAATGAAAACAAACTTGCAAAGGGATGTAGAAGTAGAAGAGGTGTCAAAGGAAGGTTAAGTTGGGTTATGGCTGGCCACATGTCAGCACCTCTGGGTCTGGAATGGTTCCCTCCAAGCTTAGAAAAACAATTGAACCGCATTGACCTGGGGAAAATGATGATAGACCCTGCATTTTTTTCCAAACGCCTTGGTTGGACCAAAAGCGTTGGCACCTACAGAATGGAGATGATAAATGAAAACAAGCGTGCAAAGGGATGTAGAAGTAGAAGATGTGTCAAAGGAATGTTAAGTTGGGTTATGGCTGGCCACATGTCAGCACCTCTGGGTCTGGAATGGTTCCCTCCAAGCTTAGAAAAACAATTGAACCGCATGGACCTGGGGAAAATGATGATAGACCCTGCATGTTTTCCAAACGCTTTGGTTGGACCAAAAGTTTTGGTACCTACAGAATGGAGATGATAAATGAAAACAAACTTGCAAAGGGATGTAGAAGTAGAAGAGGTGTCAAAGGAAGGTTAAGTTGGGTTATGGCTGGCCACATGTCAGCACCTCTGGGTCTGGAATGGTTCCCTCCAAGCTTAGAAAAGCAATTGAACCGCATTGACCTGGGGAAAATGATGATAGACCCTGCATTTTTTTCCAAACGCCTTGGTTGGACCAAAAGCGTTGGCATCTACAGAAGGGAGATGATAAATGAAAACAAGCGTGCAAAGGGATGTAGAAGTAGAAGAGGTGTCAAAGGAAGGTTAAGTTGGGTTATGGCTGGCCACATGTCAGCACCTCTGGGTCTGGAATGGTTCCCTCCAAGCTTAGAAAAACAATTGAACCGCATGGACCTGGGGAAAATGATGATAGACCCTGCATGTTTTCCAAACGCTTTGGTTGGACCAAAAGTTTTGGTACCTACAGAATGGAGATGATAAATGAAAACAAACTTGCAAAGGGATGTAGAAGTAGAAGAGGTGTCAAAGGAAGGTTAAGTTGGGTTATGGCTGGCCACGTGTCAGCACCTCTGGGTCTGGAATGGTTCCCTCCAAGCTTAGAAAAACAATTGAACCGCATTGACCTGGGGAAAATGATGATAGACCCTGCATTGTTTTTCCAAACGCCTTGGCTGGACCAAAAGTGTTGGTATCTAAAGACTGGAGGTGGTTGTTGGAAGCACGTCACTGCAGGTTGCTCATCACAACTTGGCCTGGCATTTGTTTCTTCCAAATCAAACTGGCATATGTGGGAGGTTGGAGGTAATGCCATATCATGTTGAAGTAAAGCTCATGATAATTCAGCTGAAGATGTTGCCGGAGATTAATTTTACATCTTTGTTATTGCACATTGCTGCAGGTTGGTCATTGTTTTGCCTTGTTTTCGGGTGATGTTCAAACCAAGCAACATCGAAATCACCTAGTTTTGAAGTTTTGAAAATGGAAATCTTGATCGACCAAAACCGGGGATGCTAATTCCACACATGTTTTGCACCTTTGTGCAAATACCTCATCACGACTTGTTTTCTTTTTCTGCGCTCCAAATCAATGACCTTTTCTTGTGGTCTGTTGAAATCAATTTATACCACAACAAGGCTCATATACTTTCAAGGTTCTGATTTGATAGCCTCTCAGGATTCTAAAATCATACCCTCTATGATTTTAGAACCCTCAACGGCATTTTTAGGCACCGCGATCTTGAGGGTATGTCTGATCTCCATTCTATCACATCCAACCGGGTCAGGACAAACGAAAAACAGGTGGTTCAAAACTGTTGCAATTTGTTTTCAAGAAAATAAATTCCTTGTAATAAAGAGAGATCAGTCCGACGCTGAATTATCAGACTTCTCAGCCTGATGATGAATTGCGTAACATTTTCTGGGATGCAAAAGATGGGTGATGATAGATTTGAAAAAGATTGGTCGAAAAAATAAACCTGTTCCAGAACCTCTCTTTCAGAATCCCTTTATTTTTGCTTCCAAACTGTGTTGCTAGGGATTTGGGGTGAACCAAAAAAAATATGGCTTCCTGACAGTAGGGCCCCAGAATGCTATGATTTTATATTTCATTTTTTGCTAGCTTCAAAACCTCCAAATTCCAAGGGTCTAGAGTGGTACCACTGGGACAGGTCTACAATGCCCTAATTATCAGTCTAGACCTCTAGACCCTAGCCCCTCCAGGGGGGGGCCTTCTAGACCTTAAGTAGTTGAGGGTATGAAATGATGGGTTCCGTGTTAGATTCAGGGAGTGTACGCTGGCGTTTACTAACTTGTTACTAAAGATTAAAAATTGTGGTTTTTCATGTGATTTAACTGATGAACATGTGCAGGAAACCCGAATTTCACGAGAAAATAAAGGCGTCCTCTAAATCTAACTTCATCCAATTCCTGAAGTGCCATGCACGTGCCATATGCAAATCTATGGGGCCCATTGACTATCAGCAAGTGCGAAATGATAATAACCATTCTGAGAAAGTGACAATTATTATAGTTCACTTATTTATTCTGTCATAACCCATGACGGATCCTAATGGTGCTGCTATATATGGTGTTAGCATTAATATACCAGCACCATGGAGTCCCACACATCCACGTTGGGGTGAAAAATCGCCACCTTGGATTACCACCATGATGCCATGCCTCCTGGGCGACGACGGCCAGCAGGGGGTCACAAATTCGCCAATCCTCCGTGGCGTTTGGAGCAGTTTCAGTGGCGAAAAATATGGAGAAAACCATGGAAAACCCATATTTTTGTCACTGAAACTGATTTCCCTGTGGTAAAACATGTCAATTTACCATGGAAAAATATGGAAAATATATGGAAAAATATGGAAAATATGGTAAAATCATCATCTTTGATGGTAACATCTGGTAAAAATCATTAAAAATCCATAGTTTCCGGTACAGATTGTCCATGGTTTCCGTGTAAAAACCAATCCAATGACAGTTTGTCCGTGCTCTTCAGCACGGAATTGATATCCCAAGGCGCCACATGCGGAATATCGGGGATCCAGAGATCTTTCTCGGGACGATGATGGAACATCAAACATATTACGGTAAGAGCACCAACCAAAAAAATATTGGTAAAACATGGTATTTTACCTGCAACCGAAACCAAGCTTCCGAAAAGACGAAGCTACACATCCAGTGCTTGCGCACTATATCCGATCCCCCGATGGCATGATATTCGCCAAAGATCTGCAGAACGGCCGGGTATCAACTTGTATCGACTTGTATCTTCACCAATGATGTGCTATGAATATTGTTCATAGGGCTATGAAAATAGAAGTATTAATAGGGGTATTTCAATACTATGTTAATGAAGATTAGCTATATGTTAATGTGTTAATGTTCTCATACCGGAAAAATACAGCATGAATATTAAATAGGGGTATTTCAAAACTACCAAATCAACCAGTCGCTGAAGCATCTGAAACCCTCGGATTTTTATACAATTTCTACAATCGAAAATCAAATAGTTGGGATTACACATACATAATAATATATATATATATATATTTAATAATTATATATATATATTTGCTTGGGACATACTTGAGATGTTAAAAGTCGAACATCCCAACTATCAACCATTGGTGTCCGCCAGCGAAACCGTCGCAGAAAGCTGCACCAAGAGTCCCGTTCCAGGCGCAGCAAGGTGAAGACGCGCATCATCCGAAGTGCCCCTGGTGGTACCGGGCACTTGGTGTGGGACTTGGAAAAATCTATACTTGGTGGCTCATCCCACGAATCGTAAGTGGGTTATAACCCCAGTGATTTACATGGGATAAGGAGCGGGTTACTCCACTTCTAATTGGGGTGAACTAACCCATTTACTAAGTGGGATGAGCCACCAAGAAGGTATTCATGGCCCAATAAAAACCATGGTGATTGGGTTCAAGATATAAAATTCTCCGATTTTCGTGATGTTTTCGTAATTTTGGAAATAAAATGAAATGAAATTCTGAAAAAAAGAGGGATATCTAGGGATTATGATTGGAGAAACTGTTTTTTTTACCAGTTCATCAAACAACTTTGGAGGAAATATGTAGTCTTCTGGTTCGTTGAGAACAGGCACAGAAATCATCGATGATGGTAATCCCCAATAGGCTGGGAGGTTGGCCTTCCACATCCCAGGCATTAACCTTTCCTTAACCTGCCATGGGTATGAACCATCCAAACTAGGCCTTGGTTCAAGGGAAGAATGGCATGAACTCATCCAACAGTTAAGTGTATCTTGACCAACAAATCCAGAATTCGCCGGTCAAAACTGTGGAAACCCAAAACCGCAATGTGCCTCCGTGTTGTTGAGGTTCTATGCTGGTTTCCAAGGGACTACATACAACCAAAACCTTGACCCTTCCGAATACCTCAAACCCCGTTTTTTGGTTTCCGATTTTTTTGTATCTAAATATCCCATAATATCTCTATATTGGACTGGTTTTCCTATGGTTTTCCTATGGTTTTCTATGGTTTTCTTATGGTTTTTCTTCCTTCCCGTTGTTTTTTGTTCGGCTCGGCGTTGCGCGTTGCTCCTAATCCGCGAAGCTGGTTGCTGTCGATCATCAAATCCTCGGCTCCAGTTGGTTTCGACCAATTGGGGGGATTCAACCAACAGTTTTTCTGGGACATGTCACTTCAAGGATATCTATATATATATATACACACTATATCTACTATAAAACACACATATATATATACTATATATATATACTATATATATATACTATATATATACTATATATATATATATGTATCATATATCTATATTATATATTATATATACATATAGTGCCCCCATGTACCCCCAACTTAAGTTTCCATGTTGAAAAGTGTGAAACCAGGACAGTACTTCTACGATTCATTGGGCTATGTGTTTACATGTTGTGGCAGCTCATGAGATACAGTATCATGGTATATAATGGTTTATAGATGTATAAAGATCTATACATATGTATATATATATATATGTGTGTATAGATGCATATAGATTCATAAAAATTAAAAATATGTCTAAGTATATGTATAAAGATGTTATATAGATTCATATATAGGATATTTATTTACCCCCAAAGCATCCATTGATAGATGGATTTCCCAATACAGTATAAAGCAACCATTTTGGGTTACCCTTCTGATGACTTCGTTTGTCCCAACACGGGGGGAATCCCAAAAAACATGGGTCGTTCAACAAGATTGATCACTGGCCCGCGTTTGCTTCGGATGTAGAAACCTCTGTGAGATTTCTCTGCATATCGAGTTACAAACCTCAACATCGACACTGATAAAATGGTGATCTTTTTCGACAACCCGGTAAGAGTAGGAACTATGAGGAAGTATCGCAACCATTTAAAAAAATTACTTTACTTCGTGTGATCCCCACCATGACATTTATACACTTTCTTACTGGCAAATCTTCTGGCATTCTATCTGACATATCTTCTGACATTCTATCTGGCACTCTATCTGGCATATGTTCTGGCATATCTTCTGGCATTCTATCTGGCAAATCTTCTGACATTCTATCTGGCATATCTTCTGGCAAATCTTCTGACATTCTATCTGGCATATGTTCTGGCATATCTTCTGGCATTCTATCTGGCAAATCTTCTGACATTCTATCTGGCATATCTTCTGGCATTCTATCTGACATATCTTCTGGCATATCTTCTGGCATTCTATCTGGCAAATCTTCTGGCATTCTATCTGGCATTCTATCTGGCATATTGTCTGGCATATCTTCTGGCATATTATCTGGCATTCTATCTGGCATTCTATCTGGCATATCTTCTGGCATATTATCTGGCAAATCTTCTGGGATTCTATCTGGCATATTTTGTGGCATTCTATCTGACATTTTATCTGGCATTCTATTTGGCATACCTTGTGGCATTCTATCTGGCATTCTATCTGAACCATCTTCTGGCATATCTTCTGGCATATCTAGTTTGCAAGTAATATATAACATACTTGTCTGACATTCTTTCTAACTTTCTTCTGCACATTCTTTGTCCCATATCTTCCTACATGAGGTCCGGCAGGGAACACTTGGCGTGGATACTCGCGGTTGAGGTCCGGCAGGGAACACTGGGCGTGGATGGTCGTGGTTGAGGTCCGGCAGGGAACACTGGGCGGGATACTCGCGGTTGAGGTCCGGCAGGGAACACTGGGCGTGGATGGTCGTGGTTGAGGTCCGGCAGGGAACACTGGGCGGGGATGGTCGTGGTTGAGGTCCGGCAGGGAACACTGGGCGTGGATGGTCGTGGTTGAGGTCCGGCAGGGCACACTGGGCGTGGATGGTCGTGGTTGAAGTCCGGCAGGGAGCAGGAGGAGAGGAGACGAGGAGAGGAGAGGAGAAGAGAGGAGAGGAGGAGGAGGAGGACGAGGAGGAGGAGGAGGACGAGGAGGAAGCAACTGACATAAAATCTAACAACCCTCACCTGGCAGGTGGGGAATAAAATTTAAAAAATCACCAAACATCCTTTTAAAATGAAAAAACAACATAACACCAGGACCAGATCCATAGCTAGACCCGTACCCGCTGGGCCAGTGCTGTCAAGTGACAACCACCAGGGAGATCAAGGACCTGGACCAAATGTTCAGTCAGCTCTGTGCTCTATATAAACATACTATACTCATGCAAATGTCTGTACGTAAATGAAATACATACACATACATAGATAAAGAATACATATATAGATGATATATATATATATATAGAAAGAGAGAGGTATAGATGGGTAAATACACAGATGTAAAGGAAGGAAGAAAAAGAAAAAACAAAGAAAGATAGATAGATGGATGGATAGATAGATTAGATAGATTAGATAGATTAGATAGTTTAGATAGATTAGATAGATTAGATAGATTAGATAGATTTAGATACAAAGATTTTTTTAAAAAAATATAGGTAAATAGAAAGATCTAGATAGAGAGAAATATCAAGATAGAGAGATAGAGAGATTTAGAGGTCGATATAGAGATCGATATAGGGATCGATATATTTACTGTAGGTGTATATGTGTATATGATATAAATATTGATATAGATATTTGATACAGATATACGATGCCCCCGATTGAATCAATGGGTGACGGCTGACCACAACTAGGATGGACATCCAAGATTCCAACAGGGTGGACTCGAACCAGGCTTTGGAATCACTTACCCTCTGGTAAACGTTACAAAAAACGATGGAAAAAACCACCGTTTTTAGTGGATAAATCAACTATTTCTATCGCCAGAGGGTACCATCCCTGACATCGCAAGTTCGGAACATCTGACTGCTCTGACCATGTTGCTTGAGAGGTAGGCTTGATCAACTGCAAGAATTGAAGCAATAAGCTAATGACTACTAGGCCATAGGGGGCTCTCAGATCAAATCTGGTTGGTGGTTGAGCCACCCCTCTGAAAAATATGAAAGTCAGTTGGGATTATGACATTCCCAGTATATGGAAAGTCATAAAATTCATGTTCCAAACCACCAACCAGATAAATAAGCCCAGGCGGTATCCCCAACAGCAAAAACGGGAAAGAGTGATAGCAGAAAAACAACAAAAACAACCCATCGAGTTGCACTTGCGTGTCCGCCGCCAGTGGGACTTCAACATTAGTCCAGTCTGCTACAGAAATATACTGCATTATCCCACATTATCCCCATAAAATATCACAAAAAAGATATTTGACCATGGTTTCCCCATATAAGTTATATCCCACATATCCCACATATCCCACATATCCCACATATCCCACATTATCCCCATATATTTAGATTTTTTTCCCATGGTTTCCCCATTCATTTAACCTGGACTATAGCATAGCCCTTGGACTCCAAGGTTGACCTGTGTTTTACACCGAGGAACACTAGGTCGATGAGCATCAAAGGGTGCAGCATCGCTCGCAGGCGCACCTGGCCCGTCTGGAGATGTCTAACCCAGCTGCTTTCATGCAGACTTATGCAGACTTGCGTTCACCTCTACCAGCCAAAATCCTATAATTTAGCAAAGACATGTCATGTGAAAACAAAGCCAAGAGCGAAAAGAAAAAAACAAAAGCGAATCAAAAACAACAGCGAAATAATGCAACAAAATGCGGTTAAAAAAAACAAGGTCAGTTCCAATGCACAAAGGAACTCGACACATGAGAAATAGCATATCACACTGTGAACCGACAACAAAAGTCACCTGTCTACTCTACGCGGTTCTACCTGCCCCGCTCGACTCTACCCTACTCTACTCGAAACGACCCTACTCTACTCGATTCTTCTCTATGAACTCCACTCTGCTATCTTCATTCCTATGGACAAAAAGGGACACGGCGGTATCATTAAACTTCATGGCAGCCCTCAGATAGCCAGCCAGGATTTGACACTTCAGCAGCTATGTCCGGATTCCTAGAGATCAACGACCGACATGATGACATGTGCTGCCATGGCCAAGCCAAGGTCCCTTTGAGTCATCGATGTTCCTGTTTCAATCACTGGTGTCTTGCACGAATGCTTCGTTTTTACAACTTCAACTTGCAGCTTTTGCAGCTTTTGAAGGATGTCTCGCACGAAATGAGTTTTTGAGAGATAGCAAATGCGCAAAATCGTGTATTTTGCAGACATTTTCGCGTTGTTTTGTTTTTTTTGGTGCGTTATTTTTGTTTCGCACTTTTTGAACACTTGTTTCCCACAAAGTTGCGGAAAATTTGAAAAAAAAAACGAGGAAAATGCGGGAATAACGAAAAGATGCGAAACAAAAACTTGCATGTTTTGTGAAATGTTGTCTTTCACTTTGTTCATTTGTTGGGTTCTTCCCGCTGTTGTTTTCCGCATTTTTGTCGCACGTTTCGCCGCATGTGTTCTTGCTGTTTGATTTGTTTTTCCTTTTTCGTTTTGCTTCATGTTCACATGTCTTTTGAAAAAAAACACATTTTGCTAAATTATTGGATTCTGGCTGAGTGGTGAACATAAATTTAGATGTTAAAACAAAATCATTAAACTTGTTTAGTGATTTGACGGGGATACAGTGGGATTTAATTAGCTCTGGTATGCTCTGGTATTGTCGTATATACGATAACTAACTAAGAATTCTCGATTTTGTACACCACCAAATGGTCATTGTTAATCATGTCTAATATGAAAATTCCGGGTTTACCAGGATTAAACAGTAGAGGTTGACCTATTCTCCAACAGCATTGTATGGGTCAGTTCATGTGCTGGTGTGTGAGGTCTCAAGCATTCAAAACAATGATCATCAGTTGGGATTGTCATCTGATTTACCCTCTGGTAATGACTGTTACAGGTCGCGAACTGGAAGCTATGGCCCAGTCGAAATAGTTGATTTACCCATTGAAAAATGGTGGATCTTTCCAGTTCGTTATGTAAACGTTTACCAGAGGGTATATCGCATTAATATCCCATTAATATCCCATTGAATCACTATAAAAATCCATTAAATCAGCTATAAATCCCATTAAATCAGCTGTAAAATTACTAGAGTCTACTAGAGGGTATCTAGACGACCCCCTTTTCAAAAACGCATCAAAAATAATGGAATCATCCCGTGCTCACAGTTCACCCACAAGCCTAGCCGTATGTGCTGACAAAAGAATCGCTCACCCGGGGCGAAACAAATCATGGCTCATATCCCCATTGAAATGGCTTACGAAGCAAATCCTTTTGTCATGACTAAATTTCTATTGTTCCCACTCAAAAATCGCCGTTTGTTCATTGTTGTAAATCATAAACTAGGCTTTATCGAGATATTGACCCGTTGTGGCGGGTTTTCTGGGTGAGTGAAATTCAAATCTTACTTGAAATCGCTCGTTTGTGTTTGTCTGAAAATAGGATACCCCATTCCATCCACTGTTTCATTCTTGAACATTCCCTTCTTAATGGCCGTGTTGAAGACATATCACATATCCATTATATCCACAATTACTGGTGATATCCCATGATATTGTTGTAAAATCCCACGATTCGTGCCACAAAAAAATCCCATAAGAAATCCCCATTTTATAGTCCCATAAGATCCCCATTAAACCCATTAAATCCCATAGAAATCATAGAAATCCCATAGAAATCCCATAAAAACCATAGAAATCCCATAGAAATCCCATAAAAGTAACCATTGTTCCTGGGATTTTCCCCCCGGTACCAGTTACAACGCCTTCCGTCCTGGCCTTACAACGCCGGAGGTGAGAGGTCGGGACTTCTGCTTGGCCCTTGAACGGTCACTCCGAGTTCACTTTCTTGTTTTCAGTGTTTAAATCGATATATAATATGCATATAGATATATAGATATGTATATATATATATATTTGCTGACAGATTTATGAATGTTTGAAAATATTTGAAAATATTTTATATATACTCACTGAATATTCTTAGTTCAATACCGAGTTACTGTTTTTTCATGCCTACTGTATACTGTAGATGATTCACTTATCCAAAAATCGCTGATATACACTCTTTCATATATTCACTACTCTGAAAATCTCCATTTTTTCCACTATAATTAAAAACTTGGAGCAACCCTGGTTAACCCCATCTATAAGGCTGGTTTGTAATTTGTAACCCATCCAACTATAGATATCTCTGGGACAGAAACTAATTCACTAATTTGAAAAGTTCAGCTGTTTTGGGAGGTCGTTACCCCAATCCGAACCATGCCAGTGATGTCACACTGAGGTGGTTATGATTGATCCGGATGCAATCATGTACTGATTGAAATCCCCAGAAACATGATGGGTGCCCCATGGGTGCCCTATAAAATCCCATGGTCTGTCATGATGACTTTCCGAAACACAATGGCCATTTGCCTGGAGGGTTGACTACCCCATTTGCAGATACAGCCTGAATTCCACAATTGATATACCCTTATAAAATCCCATATTATATCCCTGTTAGATCACCGATCACCATCATATCCCATCATTCTGATACATATCCCATTCCAACTTTCAACTATGGGCAGGGAAGCCCAGCCGCCCCAGCCTTCCTTCCAGGTGGTGCCCTGCCCTGCCTCCACACAACTCCAAAAGCGCAAGACGTACTCCACGGACCAAATGCACGTCAAGACCTGGCCCCGGTGAACCACCGCGGATGCCGGGACCCTAGACACACGGTGGGCTGGGACACTAATGGCCCAAGATGGCCCATTGGAAACCAATGGCATGAGGTTAAAAATACTATGACATTTTTTCAGAAACCATGGTGATTATTGGTACATGATTGTATTATGTTGTATACCTTGGGATTGTTTTTTCGGGAAATCTACCAGAAACATCTTCTTTTCTACATCAAGTATAGTAAGATCTAACATTGGGGGTTCTGAGTTTCTTGTAAATGTCCCCCCAGTGACATTTAGGATCACATCTCCAAATGATTTCCTGAGGGTATATTTGTGAAACCATGTTACGTTACCTCTTGGCTTTCAGTTTATGTCCAAAGAAACCCAAAAATTTGCATCATTCCAGTGACGCAACGACTCTTTGGCCGCATTCCTGGCCTATTGATGATGGTTTATGGCAATAAATCTCCAGATCATGGAGGTTACAAACAATATACTTATGATTTGTATAGAGTATAAAAAAAACAAAAGAAGAAAGGCAAAATTGAAGGGTCTTCGGTCTTAGCCACATGTTTTCCATCAACAAAAAAGGAAACATAAGTTTTTATATGAGTGAAGCTCGTTAGCAAATTCTCCACTTCTGGGGTTGAAATCTCATATACTGCTTTGTCACAACCAGTTTGGCGTCAACCAGGTAACCTCGATCCAGATAGTTTGCCTGAAACTTGCGGCCTTGATCTAAGTTTGCTACGGCTGGTGGGGCCCCAAAGAAATATTAGCTTGTAAACCAGTTAAATAACCAACCAATAAGTCTCATAACCCAATTAGGAGATATAACCCATTTATGAACCAGTTGTATGGTAAGTGACCTCCAGACAAATCATCAGAATTTTGCAATCGATGTTTTTCTCATATAATCCTCATGTTTCAAGCAAAATCCACCTAAATCCCATGGCACTGAGGACCCCCAACCAGCTCGCTGTACCAGTACGCGGGGGTCGTCACTGTCACCTGCCCAAAAATGGCGTCCGCAGTTTTCAAAAGCCACTAGAAATACATTATCCCCGCAAGAGACCCCAAACAGTGTGGGGGAGTGGGAGGATAATGTATGAAAATGTGGATGATGATGGTGATGATGATGACGGTGGTGATGATGATGATGATGGTGATGATGATGATGATGATGATGATGGTGATGAAAATGTTGCGGACGATGATGTTGAGGATGATAATGTTGCGGAAGATGAGGTGGAGGGGTATGTTGCGAGGATGATGTTGCGGAAGATGAGGTGGAGGAGGATGATGTTGCGGAAGAGGAGGTGGAGGATGATGATGTTGAGGATGATGATGTCAAGGGGGAGGAAGAGGATGATGTGGAGAATGATGATATTGAGGAGGAAGAGGATGATACTGAGGATGCCGATGCGGAGGAGGACCACCGATCCCAAGACCGCGCTGCGTGTTTTGCGCGAGCCTGCGCAGTCGAAATGCACTTGGACATTTCACAAGAGCTACTTTGTGAGCCGAAGATTCACCTCAGGGTCAAAAAGTTCAGCTACAGACTCATACAGACACCGGCTCGGCTGCCACAACTTTACCTGCGTTCGAACCTGGCTCCTCGACGCCAAAGCGGAAAAAAGACGATTTTCAAGCACCTTTTAAAAGAACTTTTAAAAAGAACATCATCCACCTTCAGGCCGCTACTCCAATACGATTTACGATTCTCAGCTGCAAAACAACAATCAAAACACACTAGCACAGCATCAACAAAGAAGAGAAAAAGTCACCTGGAACCCGCAGTTACACTGCGCGCGCGCAAATCGAACAGGAATCGACGGCAAAGTGGCGACGCCCGCACCTGTCGCACAAGCGGGCCAACTTTTCTCCACACGGAACCTCTGTTTACGCAAAAAAACACAATGTTTCGTGCAAATCCTAACATTCAAATCACATCCATGATGTATAGCAGTTCCAATGCGATCTGCCAACAATGCCTTGCAACACACAATCAGAATCGCAACTTCTCTGCTCTACTCTTCTCTACTCTAATCTTCTCTTCTCGACTCTACTCTAGTTTACCTCTACCCCTATTCTACTTCTATTTCTACTCTACCTCTGCCTCTACCTCTACCCCTACTCTACTTCTACTCAGACTCTACTCTGCTCTACTCTACTCTGCTCTACTCTACTCTGCTCTACTCTACTCTGATCTTCTCTTCCCTACTCTTCTCTACTCTACTCTTCCCTGCTCTATGCTGCTCTACTCTACTCTTCTCTACTCTACGTTTCTATACGCTACTCTGCCCTTCTCTATACCCTGCTCTATTCTACTCTTCTCTACTCTGTTCTTCTATCCTCTGCTCTGCTCTGCTCTGCTCTACTCTACTCTACTCTACCTCTACTCTACTCTACTCTACTCTACCTCTACCCTACCGCTACTTTACCTCTACTCTACCTCTACTCCACCTCTACTCTACCTCTTCTCTACTTCACGCAGGGGCCAACTGGACACAATGATCTTTGGGCTAGTGAGAATGTGACTTATATAATGATCTCTTAACGCAGGTGCCAACTGGACACGATAATCTTTGGGCTAGCGAGAATGTGACTTAATGATCTCTTAACGCAGGTGCCAACTGAACACGATCATCTTTGGGCTAGTGAGAATGTGCTTCATGATCTTTTAACGCAGGTGCCAACTGGACACAATGATCTTTGGTTAGTGAGAATGTGCACTTTCCGTAACTCGGAGTTTCCTCAATGAAACTTCCTTTGATAACTGGCTTATGTCACGATATACAAGCAACTAGTTACAGGAGTTAAAATTCTATGGCCATTACTGTTAAGGGCTATAGCCATAACTGTACTACCCAATAAACCAGGTAGTAACACCCCTATTTTCATGACTAATAGAACTGCTCATCATGTCAAACAATGAGACGTCCTTCTGGACTTGTAGCTGTTATCCCCTTATATACTACCCATGAAAAGCCTGGTATACAACATGGGTGAGTCTGAAAAAGGGGGTATACGGTATACCACTCATCAACAATTAGCCACCTTAACAGGGAAAATGATGATCAGCCGCTGGATCTATACCAGGCATATTTAGCATTGCCAATAGACACTCTACAAAAAAAAAGTACTGGTTGTCTTTAGCAGGTTAGTAAATAGTCCTGTCAAACGCGCAAAGATTAACTTGCAAAGATTAACTTGCAAAAATACTGCGAAGGGAGGGGGGTTATTTTGGTTCTATACCTATCTCCCATTTATATATAATTATATACATAAGTTGGTTCTCCCATTGTAATTAACAAATCTATCCCTGGGTTTTTCTCCAAAATCCACGAATCTGGGTGATGCGAACCAAAACTCCGGCGAAAACGCGAAAACTTCGGCGCCTGCGTGGTGGAATCTAAGACCAGCAGAAAGACCACCGCACAGGCCATCAGGAACTGATACGCCGTGGCCGTGACCCTCAGCCATGGCCAGATGCCAGATTTATGGCCAGATTTCCATGGGATTTCCCATGGCCATGTCATGGGTTGGAAATGCCATGGTAGTTTTCATGGGTTAAATGATTTTAATGATGGTTTTCATGGGTTATATCTATGGTTAACGCTTACTGTATATGGTTTTAATGATTGATAAATGCGTTTTAATGGGTTAAATATCTATGGTTGATGATGATGAATCATGATTAATGATTGTTAATGATGGTTAATAATGATCAATATTATATACAAATGTATATAATTTGGGTGGTTCCATAGTCATGATGATGATTAACGGTTAATAAATGGTTGAACCATTACCATGATTAACCATGGTTAATAATGATGAATAATTGTAATTAATTATGATTAGTAATGGTGATTAATAATGATTAATGGGGGTACCCCACTAGCTGGATGGTTTATGGCTTGGAAAATACCATCTACAAATGGATGAGAACTGGGGTACCCCTATTGTTTTGATTTGTTTTGTGAAACTTAAAAAAATCTCTCAGAAAATTTGAGCTGTGAAAGAATCTCTGAGAATAAGACAACCTCGAAAAACAAACGCTGGAACTGCTGGAACTGGGGATGGGGCATGCTGGTGCCATGGCGCGGTGAAAAGTGTTTTTCATTTAGCCAAAACGTGTGATTTTGATAAGATCTTTTGGACTTGGAGTTGATTTATGATAGACAATGTTGGTTTATGGGATGGAATCGGGTTGTCCTCCGTCCCATCATTAGGGATTCCTTATGACGCCCACAGTAACCCCTAAAAAAATCGGGGGATCTCCATCCTTATTTATGGGGAAATAATCTATGTTTGAATAGTGGCACATTGCCTAAGGTTAGGGTCATTTGAGACCAAATGTAAATAAATCGTCCAGCGTCATCGAGCATTGCCGAATAGGTACGTGGGGTTGTTGACAAGAACGCTTGCAGTTAAGCAGCAAAATATTCGGATTGAAGTCGATGGATTTAATTATTAATAGTACTACATAACCAACATGAAACCCAAATGAACCCTCTGATGTCAAGCAATCCCAAGTGGAAAATCAACTTCCAGACCTGCTTGGAAGTTCCATCAGTTCCATGATGGAAAGGGATGGAAAGGGGAGGTCAGCTTTCACCCTGATGTTTTGCACGGCTGGAGGGTATCCAGCTTGGGAGCTAATTTGTTGATATTTCTTGGGCTGCATTCACACTGTTTCAGGCTGGTCCTTGCTCATATGAATAAATACATACATAGTGTTTATGTATATATATACACCATATCTGTTGTTTTTCTCCACGCATTGGCTCTGGGCCCTTTTTCAAAGCTCTACCCCAAGCCTGTCGAATGGCGGTTGAAAGTTCAACCGCCAGTTTTTGAAGTCATCTCGGGAATTCGATTTACCATTGATTAAAAAATCATGTGTTCTCCTTTGGAATTTGCCATAACAATATGATTGGGATACTAAATTTAGTAAATAAAATAGTGGTAAATACAGGCTCATTGTCAATAGTATTTAGTGAATCATAATCATATAAAATAGTGGTAAATACTATCTCGGGCCAAAAAAAACATCTGTTTCTTGGTGAAATCCCCATCTTTCAGATCAGGTCACCAGAGAATGCAGGAGCGCCGCTTGCTGTCACCCGGGTAGGTCTTGGTGGTGAGGAACCTTAGACCCGGTGGACGACCCCGGGATCTCCGAAAAAAATCCCAGCCATCTATGGGAAACCAACAACAAAACCATGGAAAATCATGGGATTTCATAGCTGATTTCATGGAGTTTTATAGTGATTCAATGGGATTTATAGCTGATTTAATGGAAGCCATAGCTGATTTCATGGAGTTTATGGTGATTCAATGGGATATTCATGGGATATACCCGGCCTGGTAAACGTTACAAAAAACGAACTGGAAAGATCCATCATGTTTAATGGGAACATCAACTATTTCTATATATGTCTATGGTAATGTTCAATAGCGAACTGTTAAATTCCCAGAGGGTAATTCACTGAAAGGGTCAATGGCTAATTGTTTTTTTTTGGGGGATGCCTCGGCTGTTCCATTGTGGTTGGCTAAGACAACTGGGGCCATTCAAGCTGGTCTTTCAGTTTATTTTGATGACTATCCATCTGACCTCGTAATTCGAATGTTGCAGTTTTCTCATTGTACCCTCTGGTCATTTAACATAGCTATAGAAAATCACCATTTTTTAGAACGGTAAAGCATCTTTTTTTAATAGGGCCATGGCTTCCAGTTCGCGGAGGTTGAATCCTACACCCATGATATTGTCGACCTAAAAACAGTAGATGTCCCATTAACATATTTACCATGTGGTTATTTAACATAGCGAACTGGAAAATCACCATTTTTAATAGGTAAACCATCTATAAATGGGCCATTTTCAATGGCTGTCAAATAACCAGAGGGTAAAAACATGGGACCTCATTATTGGTTATATTCCCGGCATATCCTCATCACTATATCCCACTAGAAATCACAAATCGTGGGTGACATCCCATGAGCACACTCACAGATCTACTCCCTAAAGAAAATGCTTGGTTGTATCAATGTTGCTTGTATATCCATTGTTTGCTTTGGTTTCCCAGTACCCTCCGGGAAACGAACTTACAGTTTGCGAACTGGAAAATCACTATGCTATCAATGGGTAAATCCACGATTTCTATGGCCATTTTCAATAGCTATTTTGACATAACCAGGGGGTATATTCCAATGTTATCGCCATCAAATCACGATGAATCCATTCTATAATTCTCTGGGAAAAGATCTCATAGTTCCCCAGCTCCCAGTTTTTTTTGCGGCGCTTTGGTGAGGTCAAATGAAGTCGCTATATATATATATATATATATATATGATCTACTGTAAAGAGATTTTGCTATCCATTTCAAAGCCCATCTATGGTTGATAATATCAGGATAATGGGATAATTCTCCATTATCAAATGGATATAGTTATCAATTATCAGGGGAGATATAATTATCCATTATCCATATCAGGTTAATTATATCTCCCCAACTATATCCATGATGTGATAGTATATCTCCCCATTGATATCTCCCAATGATATGATAGTATCCATATCAAGTTGATTACCCTCTGGTAAACTAACATAGCTATTGAAAATGGCCATTTATAGTGGATTTTCCCATTGAAAATGGTGATTTTCCATAGCTATGTTAAATTACCAGAGGATATCCATATCAAGTTGATTATATCTCCCCAATGATGTTTCCATCATATCCCCATGGAATGGTCCCAATTCTACACCACTGAAAGCCTATCTTTGTTATTCCCAATATATCCCTCTGATATCCCCATACAATCCCAAGTATCACATCCGAAAAAATAAAATAAAAGTATATCCTTTAATGGCCATTCAATATCCACTTAATATTGTTGACTCTCCCATTACAATCTCATTGGCACATCCTCAATATTCCCCATTAATATCTCGATTTCAGCGACAAAAAACATTCCATTAGTTGCGTCTAATCGTAGCATCTCATGATAATTTCATTAAAACATGGGAATGGTTGGTTGTATCCCAAGTTTGACTATCCCCATGGTATCCCTATAAAATCACTAAAATAATCTGGGTAAGTTACATGTTTTCATATTTTTTCACTAACCTGAAATAAGGCTTTCTTGTGGGGTCGATATTTCTTTATCCAAAGTCCTTGGCCAAAACGGATGACTCGAAACTCACCATCCAAAATCACCATCAATTCCAACCGGTAATAAGCCATTAATCACCATAAAGTCACCATAAGAATCTAGATTCGTGTATCATATACCATCATAAACCCTGGATATGTCTTTCTAGGTGATATAAACAATTTCATATATCATATCTGGATAATGGTTTCTAGATCATGGGACATCTAGAGAATGGTTTAAATTAGTCAGTTGGGATGATGACATTCCCAATATATGGAAAGTCATAAAATTCCATGGTTACAAACCACCAACCAGGTACTTATCCTATCTTATCCTCACATCATATCTGCTTGGTTTGGTTTCTAGATATTGGTTCATAGATTCATATTATGAACCATGTATATAAATCATATTAAACCCTGGATAAGAGGGTAAAACCACCATGTTCCTATGGTTTTCCTATGATTTTCCCATAAAACCACCATTTTCCTATGGTTTTCCTATGATTTTCCCATAAAACCACCATTTTCCTATGGTTTTCCTACGATTTTCCCATAAAACCACCATGTTCCTATGGTTTTCCTATGATTTTCCCATAAAACCACCATTTTCCTATGGTTTTCCTATGATTTTCCCATAAAACCACCATTTTCCCATGGTTTTCCTATGATTTTCCCATAAAACCACCATTTTCCCATGGTTTTCCTATGGTAAACCATTTCAGGCCCCAGATGTCACCGAGCCACGACCAGACCCAGAACCGCAGCCAGGCGCGGTTCCGTCGCCCCAGCGAGGCGTCCTCGGGCCAGTTGGCGCTGCTGTCGCTGCCGCTGCCTGCGTTGGTTTCGTTAAACGTGGCAGCGGTTTCACAACGGGGGAAAGGCCATGGGATTGATATAAAATGTGTATATATATGGGATTATAATGGGATAATCATCTTTATAATGGGATTATATATCAGAATAGTTCATTCATAGATTCAATGGTTTTCAATGGGATTACATAATGGGATTATAACAATAATAGTGGTTATAATACCAATAATAGTGATTATATGATGGTTATATGATGGGATTATAACATATTATATAATGATGGGAATTTCAGGATCCTAAAATGGAGGTACGTTAGTACCATATTTTTGGGCATATTTTCTAGGGATATTCCCTGAAATTAAGGCCTTATATATGGTAGGTACCTCCATTTTAGGTTCCTGAAATGGCCATTGACTATATATATATATATATACTGGTTGGTGGTTGAGCCACCCCTCTGAAAAATATGACTTCGTCAGTTGGGATGATGACATTCCCAAAATATGGAAAAATAAAAAAAATGTTCCAAACCACAAACCAGTATATATATGTATGTATGGAATTAATGGAATGTATCTATATATATATATATGGATAGTTGATAGAAAAGGAACATGTATATCAAATAGTTTTTTTTTCCATGTTAGTAATCATCCTGAAGTTCATAGAATATGGAATGTTCAAAGCTATCTTCAGTTTTAGAAAGTAATGCCACTTATTATATAAGGAAAATATGTTTATAGATACTGTACAATGAAGACCAGTTCTGTATCAGTGACATAGTGCTACCAGTCTTATAGAACGATATAATATATGTACGTATATTTATCTAATTCGATACATATATCTATAGCCATCTTAAAGTAGATAGAAGATTATGGGAGTGTCCAACATGTGCTCATTGTTGTGAGATTTGTTTGAAACGTCCATAGTCTATCTGCTCCAGCATGACTACATATATAGAGAGAGAGAGATACATATACGAGCGGTTGTATAGTCATCTAAGGGTATGTGGTGAGGGGTAATATCACTTACATAATGCGAATAGAAAAGGAATGTTATGTGTATATATATATATGTGGGCTATATGGATAAGATTTAATCCACAACATTACTACCAGCTATGTGGACATTACTACCAGCTATGTGGACATATATATATATATACATTACATATCTGTATCTATCTATCTATCTATCTATCTATCTATCTATCTATCTATCTATCTATCTATCTATCTATCTATCTATCTATCTATCTATCTATCTATCTATCTATCTATCTATCTATCTATCTATCTATCTATCTATCTATCTATCTATCTATCTATCTATCTATCTATCTATCTATCTATCTATCTATCTATCTATCTATCTATCTATCTATCTATATAGATCACTTGGAGGTATTCCCGATCTCTTATACTCCTTCATTTACATATCTATATCCATATATATATATGTCGTATTAGTGGATGATAACCCGGTGAATTCTAAGCTGCTTCTCCATGGATTCCGGAAAAACATCAAGGCCCGATGACGGTGACCAGCCATAAATGGCTGGTGATACAAAAGGCCTGGTAAACCGACAAAAAACGATGGAAAATCATGGGATTTCAAAGCTGATTTCATGGAACTTTATAGTGATTCAATGGGATATTCATGGGATATACCCGGCCTGGTAAACGTTTACAGTTTGCGAACTGGAAAGATCCACCATGCTATGAAAATGGGTAAATCAACGATTTCATCAAGGGCCATAGCTTCCAGTTCGCAACCTGTAACAGTCATTACCAGAGGGTATACCCTCCTCATCCTCCACGGTTCGGCAGATTTCCCAGCGCTCCCAGCAGAGCTCCCAGTTATGAACACGAGGATTTCATCAACATATGGAGAGATGCATTGGTTACGGTAAATGGACCCCAGTTTAGAATCTATGTTTTTATTGCTTTTTGTTTTTGGGACATTAAAGGAGGAAACCACCAATTGCTTCACCAAAGGGAAAAACGTCAAAATCGTTTCCAGTCGATCTCCCCGGAGGTTCCAATCCAATGATGATCCAACAAACAGTTTGCTATTGATAATGGCCCATTAAAATCGTTGATTTACCCATTAAAAATAGTGACTTTCTATAATTATGTAAACGTTTACCGGTGGGTATAGCATGGCGATTTTTGACGTGCCTAAATCAGCTAAATTTCAATGTGTTTAGCATGATCGGAGGATGGGACCGTCGATCATCATCAGCAAAATCTCAATGTCTCCCAAAATAATCATTAATCATTAACCATAATTACAATATTATCCATGAATATCCAAATATATCCATCATTATATCCCAAAAAACCAACATGTCCATTCTCAATTTCCATTCACATCTATCCAAATAGAAATCATCTTTGACCTATCCCCAACCCCCAACGGCCACGGCACCGCCGCGTTCCAAGTATTCATCGTCGGAGCTTTCGCTCGACTGCCGCTGCGGCCCGCGCGGTGTGACTCGCGCGCTGTGCGGTGTGCGCGGCGTGGCGCCGTCGCTGACTTTGGGGTGGATCATCCGCCGCGTTCAACGGCCATGGGGCGGGGAAGAGGGTGATGCAACCGGTTGAAATCGGTTGAAGGTGTGGATTGGTGTGGTCAAATGATGGTCATGTTTCATGGACAAAAGCTAATTTGTCCCACTTTTACACAGTTCTAGTGACAGGAACTGGGGGTATCTCCCCCCTTTGGGAGACCAGCATTGTGGACCCATAGACGAAACAAAAAGAAGAATGTGTACAGTAAAATATTATGTTAAAATAACATGTTTTTTTTAAATGTGTATGGAGTAACATCATGTAACATCATCTATATGATGATATGCATATGACCTCTTTAAAATAACATGCTCCAGTCTTGTTTGGGGACGGGATGATTTCCAATGCCCTGTCTGAGGTCGTCAACAACCTCGCTGCAACTCTGAGCAGCCGATGGCCGGGAGATCTTCACCGTTTTGTTCTGGGTATGGGATATCAGGAAAAAATCACCTATAAATGGAGGCTTTAATGGAGGATATAATATGATATAATGTGTTAATGAAAACCAGGTCAGGTTGCGGAAAATTGTGTTTTATTGCTGTGCATAGATGTCAGGATATCTAAATTTTCTTTGTCTAACGATCTAACGCTCAGCAGTGTTTAGATCATCTCAAAATAAACAGATGTTTTTTTGCCGCTGTTTGAAACATGGGAATCAGCAATTTTGAAATATCCGAATAACAACATCTTCAATACTTGGACCGTCCATCCCCATCTGCTTGAAACCAACCACGAAAACCACGTGTTTTTTTTTGTCCTACAGATTTGACCCGAAAATCAGATATCATGTTTGAAGAAATGGTGATGGTTGGTTTTATACACCATTAAACCAGTATTTGACCATAATTAAACCCCCGGTTTTTGTTGATTACATGAATCAAAATTCCAACTTTTGACCCCGTACCCGGGTTTGTCTGAAAATATGGAATACACAAAAAATGATGGCTAAAAAAGGTCGTGTTCGACATGAAAAAATTGCCGGCCATAGTTTTTTTTGCGGTAAATCCCAGTTTCAGACAGACCCAACTATCATATCAACTTCGGTAGTCCTATCCCATGAAATGTCCATATATGAGTATCCCATAATACTATACTGGTTAAAACATGTTACAACCTCATAGAAAATTCCCCATGACTCCATGATAAAAAAGGTGGTTGATAACCTATCATGGCTTGTAATACTCCAAAAAAATCGCCACGGATGTTAAAGAACCCACATTTCATAATCGGCAATGGCTCCGTTGGCCCATTGTAGCCAGATATCTCATGATATATCCCATAAGATATGAATAAAATATTGATTGAACCCATGATATGTCCATGATATTTCCATTAAACCCATGATGCTATGATTTAGTTCATTTTAGTTCTATTAATGAAATATATTATGGTTAAACCCATTGTCCTATAATGAACTCCCTGGATATTTCCGGAAAAAACCTCCATTGCTTCCTCCATGATTTTCCCATCCCAGAGCCTTCATGATGCTCCAATTTCACGTGTTGGTTTTTGTTGGTGATATAATCGAACTAGTATTCATGGTGTTTATATACCAATTTACAACATTTGGGGGGCACCAATTTAAAACCAAAAAATATCCCCACTTTTTTGTCCACACAATATATGCTATGCGTTGAAAATATTAGTTTTCCATAATCCATGGGGTATCCCTTCCTCCCCGAAAAACCATTCGATCACCACTAAATCGCAATAAAAACTCCTATGAAATTCCATAATGTATCAACTCCACTCAATTTAATGGTGATAAATCTCATTGAATAGAAAAAACTTAAAAGGAGTTGATTCTGATAGATCAACTAGTTTTTTATGTTATGTTATGTGTGATAAATGGTGATAAATCGCATAGAAATCCCACCTCTCATCCCGATGTGGCTCCCAGACTGATGTTCTGCCGCGTGCCCATCTGCAGGAACCCAGACTTGACCTCACAGAAGAGCAAAAAGCGGAAAGCGGACCGTTGCTGGCGGCCAAAAAAAAAAAGGATTTATGGCATGATTTATGGGAGGATTTAGAATTTGGGATATGATTGATGATTGTTGAGGATGATTAGTGATATGATTTATGTTGATTTGTGATGATTTGTGATGATTTGTGATGATTTGTGATGATTTGCGATGATTTGTGATGATTTACATGATTGGCATTGGTTTGCATTGATTTGATGATGCTTCATTTGTTCATGTATTCATTGGCACCAAAGTTTTTTATGATTGAAGGAAACCTCTTGCAAGGTGCCCCCCCAGTTATGTTTGTTGGTTTATGACCCAGATTATATAATTAATCATATTTGTAGCTACCATCAACCATAGGATTCACCTAGCGAACCTTTCCCAATTTAGCTATCACTTGCGGGGCCCACCTGGTATCCATATATGGATACAGAAGTATACATAGATTATATATTAGCTAAGTAAATTCCCATCAAAAAATCGGATTTACAAATTAGTTTAGTACAAATGGGATATATCTATCGGTATCATCCATGTGCTACCCGGTAGCTACCCGTTGCCCGTGGTTCAGTGGCAAACCCCTTGCGGTGTCCTTCAGTCGGTATTTCCAGAATGTCCATTCTCTGTGGGGGTTGCTATAGGATCTCCCGATGAAATCACAAAAAATGTATGGAAAACGTGGATTTTCCCATGATTCATTTTGCCAATGATGTGGCCCATTTCTAGTGGATTTTCCCAGCGAAAAAACCTCCATTTCGAGTGGATTCCCAATGATTTTCCAATTGTGATGTCTCAAATTCCCGTTCAGCTCAGCTACCATAAGCTGTGCAGCCAAGTCCTTGTTCAAATAATTGTCCTCGTGGACGACTTTTTCGGTCCCCAATGGGCGGAAAAATTGGGAACCGGAAACTCATGGAAAGCCCTATAGTTCATGGGAAAATCCCATGAAAATCCCGGTTGCCGGCTTTAAAAACCACAATCCATTGACACATGGCAAAAATCGAAGATGGAATGTAAACCAACCATATAGCTGATCATCAAATCATGGATCATAAATGATCATAATGATTGTCACGCGGATGTCATTGCTTCGATGGGATTATACTCGAAGAATCATATTATCGTAATTTAATCTCATACTACAAACAAATATCTGGTACATTATCTCCATGAGTATCCCATCAATACTGAATTTCAGCCCCAAAAAACCATCGGGATTCAGCAGTGATACCATCTTCAGACGATGGCCAGGTGGAAAAAAATCTGGTTCTATATAAACCCGTATAACGTACAAAACGTACTTTTTGATGTCGGGGAAAATCAGAAAAATGGGGGAAAAACAAAAGAATTGCTTAGATAGAGGGATTGAATGGCGGTTTCCTTGAATAGTGCGCCACAAACATGTTTACGGAGGGAGGCGACATGTTTTTTGGGCTGCAGGTGATAATTATGTGAGTGGCATGAGTATCACAGATCAGAAATGTGGTGGACCAAATACTAAGTCAACCATTTGGGGATGGTTTTACCACCTCTCGTGAAATTACGAGTGTTTTTTGGTATGTTGCTCCTCGGAGGATTAGTTTTCTGAAATATGTTACTCCCCGTGGATATAACTTCAGCTTGGTTTATTGATTTTACTTTAAAGTAAAATCAGTAAACAAATTACTAGGTTAACTAGAGTTTATAGGAACTATAAGTATATTATAGTAAATGCAGATTACAAATTTAATAAGTATACTTAGTATAGTTAGTATAGTTAATGGGTTTATGGACTAACGAACATCTCTGAGGGGGCAAGCCGAATAAATCTGGGTAATTTGCTCATATACTATGTGTGTATAAATATAAATATACATATCTCTGTGTGTGTGCGCGTTTTGATATATAATAATATATTCTATATATATATATATATATTAAATATATATGCTACATAGATATATATATATATATATATGTGCTACATATATATAGATATAGATATATATATATATGCTACATACAATATATATGCTACATACATATATATATATATGCTACATACATATATATATATACACGTATAATCATATAATTCCCGAAAGAACCCCATGTTGGGCTCCCAAAATGACACCATCCCTCAACGCTCTTCGCTCCTGGACCTTTTTCTCCAGATATTCCCAGGAGAGGTCCGGGCTGGGCAGTTCTCGTTCGACCCTGCCATGGCGTTCTGTCCATGGTTTTTCTTGGGGGAGATCTAGAAAATTCATATGAAATATGTGGAAATACAATGGAAATATATGAAAGTCTTGGACATTGATAGAGAGATCTAGAAAATCGACATGAAACATGTGGGAAATATATGAACTTCTTGGAAATTGATATAGATCCCAGCTCGACTTGACCCGAGAAGCTAATCATCAAAAGTTTTAGCTTGAGGACTGGTGCCCCAATTTATGTTGGGCGGGTTTCCCCAAAAAATCCTGGAGGATCAAAAGATGCGTCTTTTTTTGTTGCTTCAAATGGTGGTATATCCCAGAAAAATACCATGGGATAAGTTGGGATAAGTTGGGATAAGTTGGGATAAATTGGGATAAGTTGGGATAAGTTGGGATAAGTTGGGATAAGTTGGGATAAGTTGGGATAAGTTGGGATAAGTTGGGATAAGGGATAAGTTGGGATAAGTTGGGATAAGTTGGGATAAGTTGGGATAAGTTGGGATAAGTTGGGATAAGTTGGGATAAGTTGGGATAAGTTGGGATAAGTTGGGATAAGTTGGGATAAGTTGGGATAAGTTGGGATAAGTTGGGATAAGTTGGGATAAGTTGGGATAAGTTGGGATAAGTTGGGATAAGTTGGGATAAGTTGGGATAAGTTGGGATAAGTTGGGATAAGTTGGGATAAGGTTTGGGATAAGTTGGGATAGGTTGGGATAGGTTGGGATAGGTTGGGATAGGTTGGGATAAGTTGGGATAAGTTGGGATAAGTTGGGATAAGTTGGGATAAGTTGGGATAAGTTGGGATAAGTTGGGATAAGTTGGGATAAGTTGGGATAAGTTGGGATAGGTTGGGATAGG